CACCGCTACACCAGCTACTCATCACACACAACAAAGATCCCCCGTATAGCCTTAACAGACTGCTGGGGCAAGTGCTGTTCTCGATCACCTACACAAATCCCAATCAGCCTATACAGGCTGTTAGGACACGCGTTTACAGACGCACACCCTGCATGGATAAGTCGTAACACACACAATCACATTAATGCCAAAGATCCCCCGTATAGCCTTCCCGTACTGTTGGGGCAAGTGCTGTTAGCTACAGACATACACAGGGGTTCGATCCCGGCCCCCTGGCAATGATGCATGGGTCTCTCTCTCCCCGTGGTGGTCGCGTGGATTATTTTTCTCCGGCTTCCTTCCCCGGCTTTTTCCGCCTTCCCCCTCCACATTTAGAATCAACGCGCGCCGTTATAGATGATTTGGCTGCTGCTATGAATTCCCACGTGTGTGGTGGTGGTGATGATGATGATGAAATCGGCCACTTCGATGATGAGCTGTCATCACGTGTGGGCCAGGTCGTCGCCTCTGTAAAATAACTCATAGCTCAGTGGGCTTTACCTGGTGAATTAAAATTAGTTGCTAGTAATATAATCGTAGTTAAATAACCAAACGGGCATATATATACGCATGCTCAGGCACACCAACCAATGCCAATATCCACCATTCGCCACTACGTGACGGTGACGTCACCACAGCGCCTGTGCCAGGCCAGGTGCACTCTGAGGCCACGTGAAGTGTCGAGGGCTCGCTGCTGACAAGAGAGGTCTCGTGACAGACCCAGCAGGTGTCATGGGTTGGTTGAGATGACCGGTAGATGCGCACCAGCTGTACCCCCTACTGTGCCAACTTTCTGCGTTTTAGCCGCTCCGCTCGTTGTTGTAAGCGTCGCTCCTCTGCCCTCCATTGTGCTGGAGGGCGACTGCCTCCAACTGCCCAGTAGCAGCGGCGTCCTTCACGAGCCTCCTCCATAGTCAACACCTACAAGACACATACGATCACACACGCACGAAGATCCGTGGCGTACATGCTCACGTGTGGCGGAAGCACATTAACGAGTGTTGATCGGTTGTAATGCACACACGTGTTCACGTGTGTGTTCACGTGTGTGTTCACGTGTGTGTTCACGTGTGTGTTCACGTGTGTGTGTGTGTACGCAATGCGGAGCGGCGGCGTAGCGGTTAGCGCGCTGCGACCCGAACCCGGCGATCCAAGTTCGATTCCCGCTCACGGCTAATACCGGTTAAAATTATTTGAACCGGGAATGGGCCTCCCCTAGGTCGACTCAGCCTCAAATGAGTACCTGGTGCGGTGTTTAAACATCGCCACTGGGGAGACAAAGGCGGCAGGGCGTGGTGCTGGCCACCCACCCCCTCGTGCGCTGTGCCGGCCTGCATAGGTGCTTCTCGCTAACAGCACTTGCCCCAACAGTCTGTTAAAGCTATACGGGGAACCTTTGTCTTTGTTTGCAAGCGTGCGATGGCCGTGTTGTTGTTGTTTTGGCTGCGTTCGTAGGCACGATTCGGCCACGTGTTCACCTGCGCGTGTGATGTTCACCGGGGTGTTCATCGGGTTTTGTTCATTTCACACTCGTTCATGCGTGAACAAGTGTGACTCGGGTGTGTGTGTGTATATTCACACACACACATGTGTACGTGTGTATATTCACACACACATGTGTACGTGTGTGTGTGTGATGAGTCTGTGCTCGATCTGTGTTTATCCGCGCATCTGTCTGCACGCTCGCTCGCTCTCTTGGATGCCTTGTGGCAGCCCACGGGCGTTTGGTGTTAATTTGCGAGGATAATTAACAGCTGGAGGTAATGAACCCCCCCCTCCATGCCTCCTCCCCCCAATGCCTCCTCCCCTGTTGAGCTTGCGCCAGACGCGCAGCTGAATCGACTGGCTCCGTTCTGAGAATGCCCACTCCTTGCACCCGCCCCCCCTCCTCTGCCCGCCCCCCACCACTCCCCCCCACCTCCCGGGTGTTGCGTAACCAGGGCGCACGTGTCAACTTGCACTGAGGCTGCGTGCTGGTCACCACGTTTCGCATTGCACTGTGCAGTGTTTGCTAACATCTCCGTTGTGATAGGTGATGTGTCATCGTCCACTGCTGGATGAAAGGCACCCCCGCAAATCCATCCTCGTTTGCCGCACCAGAACCGATTTCGCCGCTCCATCTCCACGCTGGAGTCGTCCCTGCTCCCAAACGCGTGTTTCTCCCCCCCCCCCGCCCGCGCGGCTGCCATTCCATCACCATTTCTCGTCCAGCGGCGGATTGATGGCCTCTTCTTCTGCCCCAAACCCAGTTTTTGTTTTGACTTCAAGTCTGTAATTGCGAACGATAGCGGGTGGTTATTCTTAGACGCGTGCGTTTATAGTCAACGAGACGACGTCTGGCTGCGGTGCTTGCGTGATGAAAACGACCGCCGCTCGTGGTGCCTTTTCGTTTCGCGCAACGTGATCATCAAGTTTGGCCCAGGCTGTTGTTGACACAGCCCGGATTGTTTGCCGAGGCGGAGATGGTGGCCAGGCGGGATGGAGAGGGTGTCAAACAACAGCTTGACAAGTGCTTGACACAGTCGAAGCGTGAGCCCAGCTTCTCTGACGCAATGGGGGACGATACTCAATCGCCATCGCTGACTCTGCTCCGCCGGTGGTGGTAATTCCACGCTCCCATGACGGAGCACCGGATCGTCCAGGGGATGGCCCGCTCGCTTGTGCCCTTCCCGCAAAGTGGAACTCGCCACATCGGCCGCGGATGGATGAAGGGCTGAGTTGACCTCCGACCGGGATATGAGCTCGCTGTGTAAGATGAACTTTGCGTACAGAATCCCAGTCCACGGCACACCGAAGACCTAAGCCCGGCAAAACTCGCCAGCAAGCGACACGGAGCAGTCCCGTGGCTGACAGCAGATCTCATCATCATCATCAGCAGCCATGAAGTCCCCTCCCCCCGCCAGTCTGCCTCTCGCGGCAAACTCGAGACGCAACGATCTGTAGGCGCGCCGCTGCACACGAGCCAGATGTCATCGCTCCGTCTCAGCGCTGTGGACGCCCTGTATTGAATCCGACGGGAACTTGTTGAGACCACAGTTTGTTATTTCCCGATGCAGATGGCAGAACGGTAGAATTCGCGCGCGATTTTCATTCACGCGTTTTTTTTTTACTCGGCAATGATTTTCTCTCCAGTCACGTGCGTGCACGTGCTTAGACGTCTCTCTTCGGGTCACTGTGTCAGAAGACATGGCGCTCGGATTAATGTTGTACTGCATTACCACGTGACGGGTTTTCCTCTGCGACCGTTGCCACCGGACGATCGACGGTCGCCGCCGTTGCGTGCGAGCGCCGCGGTCCGACCGGTGTCGCCAACCTGAGTCCGAAGGCAGTGGCCCTCCTCCCGGAGAGGGAGTTGGGAGTCGGAGGAGGAATCGGAGGCTTGTGCCGCGGTTATTTTTTGTTTTTAGCGGTCGTCGGGCGCTCGCGCGCAGGCGCGAGGGAGGGAGAGAGCGAACGCGCCTGCGATCAAAGCCCCACGGAATTACAGCGAGTTTTGTGCAGAGCGTTTACCTCTGAGAAAGACGTAGCCCCCGGTGCCAAGAACTGGCCGGGATCAAAGCGCCGTGCCAGCGGTCTGATTGAGGGATAATCCCAAGGCGAGAGCGGAGAAATTGGGAGGTTATGAGCTCTGTGCCGCCCCCCCTCCACCCCCATCCCTCCACTCCCCTCCCGCTGTCTCTCATCACTGAGAGGCGAAGACACAACTACGCAGAAATAAAAAAAATACGCACACGCGCGGGTCGCACATGCCTTAAAAAGTACACTTTGTAACGCCAAGTACATCTCACTCAAATATGTTCCACGCCGCCGGCAACGGCGCGCTCTGCGCGTGTGAAACCTGACACGCGTGTGCGCGTGTGTTTTGTGTGCACGTGCGTGTGTGTGTTTGTGTGCGCGCGTGTGTTTTGTGTGTGTGTGTGCGCGCGTGTGTGTTTTGGAGCGGAGCGCCGTGCAGCTAAAGCACAGCAAGTTGGCGCAGTAGGGGGCACAGGTGGTGCATCAGCCAGTCGTCTCAGTCGGTCAACCCATGGCACCTGGGTCTGCCCCTTGACCTCCTGTCAGCAGCGAGCCTTCGGCCTCAAAGTGCACCTGGCACGGCACAAGCGCCGGGGTGGCGTCACCGCCACTTAGTGGGGAACGATTGTTGTTTGCGTGCGTGCGTGTGTCGGTGTGTTTGTGTGTGCGTGTGTCGGTGTGTTTGTGTGTGCGTGTGTCTAAATTAGGGCCGCGAGTGATCGCCCTCAAGAGCCTTTGGCGAGTCGCGCCGTAGCGAGGAGGGGGGGGGCGTTTGTCCGATCGGCGGTCTGGCTGGCGCGGTAGCACGCGGCGTGGGTGGCAACACACGAACGCGCGTCTGTGTTAATTCAGTAAAGCGGTCAGGGTGTTGGATGATTTGGTGTAACTCGCGTGTCAAAGAAGGGGGGGTGGGGGGAGGGTGGGGGGGCTGCTCGCAGAGTGCCTGCCGCGTGGTGTTGTTGGCGTGGTGGGAGTTGCCGGAGTACAGCCGACGACGTCTGCCGCTGCTGCTGTCGCCGCTGCCGCTGCTGCTGCTGTGTCGTAGCGCCCCCTTGCGGAGAAACGCCACGCGCGGTCCAGCAGCCCAACACGCGGCTCCTCGCCTCTTTGATTTTTTTTTATCCCCACCAGCGCTGTTATTTATAGAACTACCATTGCCCTGCTGACCTTTGGTTTGGTTTGCGTGGTTTTTTTGCCTCCGCAGCTGTTGATCTCCTCCGTGCCTCCTCCCACGGCGGCTGCAGTGCCGCACGATTCCCTCCCCCCGCTGACCGCCGCTCGGCCGTCTCGGTTTTTTCGCACGTGGCAGAAAATTCCGCCGTCGTAGATTGCGTGTGACGATTGCGCGTGCGTGCGTGCGTGCTTGCGTGCGCCTCGGCGTTGCCGTCGACTAACCGTCCATCGTGTCTGTGTGCGTGCGTGTCTCCCGTGTGATGTTACGCCAGGCCTCGGACGCCGGCTCGGAGAAGCTCTTCCACACCGCGTCGCTCACGAAAGGTGAGTTGTCTCGCCGCCCGCTGCCAATTCAACGAAGACGTGGTTGTTATTTTCGTCGTTGTTGTCGCTCCGTTGAAATATTCCACCCTGCACCATCCCTGGAGATGGAACGTCACGTTCCCCCCAAGGGTGTCCTGGAAAATGATCAATTGAGAAAAAAACGCAGCAAGCGTCGCCGTCAACCGCTGAAAACACACGATTGGAAGCAGGACCCTCCTGTTATAGTGCTAGTAAGGGCCCACTAAGCTATATGGCTCTTTTTTCAGTAGTGACTTGGCTACCACAACTAATTATCTCTCAACGAAGTGACTTATTATAACGTGAAATACCCTAAACGCTTGATGTTGATTGTAAATGTGGAGGGAAAAAACGGAGGACCTGGAGAAAGATCCACACCGACCACGGGGAGAGAGCGAGAGACACACGCAAACTACAAATACACCAGGGTGGGGTTCGAACCCACGCTCTGGTGTATACCAGGCGAGGTAGTTAACATCTCGCCACAGTGGCGCGCACTTGAGACTCGGTGAGGCTGTCCCTGGGCGAGCTCGCGCGGTGACAACTGAGCGCGTCCCTGATTGAGAAGTCTGCGTCCTCGCGGAGTAAGGCACAACGAGGGAGCATCACGACGCTGCCGCCTTTCTCCTCGGGCCCTCTCGATGCACGCCCCGGAGGAACTCTCTGCCTCACTCCTCGTAACGCTCGCTCGCAGCTCGCGTGGCTTCAGCGTCGCTAGAATGTCGCTCCGAGCACGAGAGAGATTAGTCGCCGTGAGCGCTCTCGTGGACCTCACCCGGGGCGCGTGCTGGTGAGCCGTGCGCTTGCCGTCAGGGCCTTGTTCAAATTTCTCTTTAAGTTTTCCCCGAACTTTCAGATTTCTAGGGCAGTTGATTTTTTTCCCTTTCAGTTATCACGCACGGGCAACACACAGTTAATACATGCACACAGTCAACATACGCACACAGCCAACACACGCACACAGTCAACACACGCACACAGTCAACACACGCACACAGTCAACACACGCACACAGCCAACACACGCACACAATGTAATACACGAACGGAAACAAAGACGGCTTCAAATGCGACGCCATTTATCTATCGCAGAACAGAAATATGGTGCTCTTTAATTGTGAAGCGTGATTTGTAATTGAACGGCTCGTCGTTTGCGGCAGGGGACGCCGTGCGTGTGAAGCCGAGGACTCCCCTCCCCCGCCGTCGCGAGCGCACGGCACCGTGACGCCGCTGCCGGCCCCCGTGGCGCCCCGCACGACTCGCGTTGCACTCATTCCTGGGACGGGGATTTGGCTCGGGGATCTTCGGGTGGGGGAGGGGTGGTGCTGACGGGGTGGCGGGGGGGGGGGCGTATTTTCAAAAGTAAAATTTTGCCAGGGGTTAGGTCCCGAGTTGGGCAACGGGGGCTCGTGCCTGGCCAAGCCTTGGCGAGAACCGAGGCACGCACGCCATGGCCAGCTCTCGTTACGGGCTATGAATAAAAAAATGTATAATCCTCGCCACCATCGGCACAACAAGAACAAGGGTAATGACAGTAATAACGCCGCTGCCGCCGCACATCCATCGTCTTTGACCGTGCCAAATAAACCACGCTCCCTTCTCCGCCACCGCCACCCTGCCGCTAATGACAATCCATAATTCCTGAGCCGGTGCCAGGCGGACCGGGCACACGTGTTTGTATCTTTATTATTATCTTATCCCGGGTGGCGCGGCGAGATTTGGCGATCACGAAAGTCGACCAGCGACCGGGCGTCATCTGCCCGCCTCGTCCCCCCCCGTGGGAGTCATGCCCTTGGTTCCGTGCCCTCGGTTCCGTGCCCTCGGTTCCGTGCCCTCCGTTCCGTGCCCTCCGTTCCGTGCCCTCCGTTCCGTGCCCTCCGTTCCGTGCCCTCCGTTCCGTGCCCTCCGTTCCGTGCCCTCCGTTCCGTGCCCTCCGTTCCGTGCCCTCGGTTCCGTGCCCTCCATTCCGTGCCCTCCGTTCCGTGCCCTCCATTCCGTGCCCTCCGTTCCGTGCCCTCCGTTCCGTGCCCTCCGTTCCGTGCCCTCGGTTCCGTGCCCTCCGTTCCGTGCCCTCCGTTCCGTGCCCTCCATTCCGTGCCCTCCATTCCGTGCCCTCGGTTCCGTGCCCTCCGTTCCGTGCCCTCCGTTCCGTGCCCTCGGTTCCGTGCCCTCCATTCCGTGCCCTCCGTTCCGTGCCCTCCATTCCGTGCCCTCCGTTCCGTGCCCTCCGTTCCGTGCCCTCGGTTCCGTGCCCTCCATTCCGTGCCCTCGGTTCCGTGCCCTCCGTTCCGTGCCCTCCGTTCCGTGCCCTCCGTTCCGTGCCCTCCGTTCCGTGCCCTCCATTCCGTGCCCTCCGTTCCGTGCCCTCCGTTCCGTGCCCTCGGTTCCGTGCCCTCCATTCCGTGCCCTCCATTCCGTGCCCTCCATTCCGTGCCCTCCGTTCCGTGCCCTCCGTTCCGTGCCCTCCGTTCCGTGCCCTCGGTTCCACGCCCTCCATTCCGTGCCCTCCATTCCGTGCCCTCCGTTCCGTGTCCTCCGTTCCGTGCCCTCCATTCCGTGCCCTCGGTTCCGTGCCCTCCGTTCCGTGCCCTCCGTTCCGTGCCTGCGGTGGGGTTTGGTTTTTGTTTTGTCACCCACCGGGCAATGTGGCCCAAAACGCGTAGCCTGCGGGGTGAGTCACGTTTACGGATCCGTGAACGTAGTGCCGTCCTCGGTCTGCCGGCGTTCTCATCCTGAATGTGCCCTCCTGGTGCCGCTGTTGCTGCCGGCAGTGGCGGCATGGAGTTTGCGTCCATGAGAAGATCTGGACATCTGCGAAAAAGAGCTTTATTGCTCATCGGATTCTTCCAGTGTAAATAAATATTCTGATGCGTGCATGCCGTGTGGATGCTGGTGAAGGGGCATTGCAGCGCATTTTCTGCAACGGTTTCTAACGATAACGTGGCCAAGGTGCCCCTAATGAGCCCGATGTTGCATAGATATCAAAAAGCATGCAGGTTTTAAGCCTGGTTAGGAATTAGGACTTGGATGGGTGACCTCCAGGGCTTGCCGCGTGTTGTATGATAGCCGCGTGTTGCCAGGTGCCCAGGAGATAGCGGTTACAGCAATCCTGAAAGTGACCGTGCAGAGCTCCCGGCGTTGTGACAGCCTCGTGCGTTGTGTGGGGTTTCTCCGGGTTCTCGCGTTTCCTTGCTCACGAAGCCAAGGCACTCGGTCGTGGAATTGGCGAAACATCCCGAGGCAGGCCCTCCAAGAGAGGCTTTGCCGGATGTGGGGGGGGGCGGTGAGGAAACAAAGGGCAGCAGCAGCAGCGTCATCATCGTCATTATTATTATTCATCATCAGACATCGCGATGCGTTCTGGACCGCTACCACCTTCATCATGGCGAGATTCTCGCGCACTCCACGTCCGAGCAGCTTAATGTGGCGCCGGTCGATACCCGCCGGTCGATTGGAGCATTGGATTTATTTATTTATTGCATTTTGCATTTTCCGGCACGGTCACTTTAGCGGAACACTCTTTTTCAGCACATCGTGGGGCGGTGTGAAGCCCCCCCCCGCCCCCCGCGCCACGATTAATGGCGGCGTGAACACGAACGGCGTGACGCATCGACTGCCCCGTTGTTGTTATTGCTACTCGTGCTCGCACCTCTTAGAGGGAAGAGCGGTGGGCGCGCGGCCGCACTGCTCTGCGGCAGGGAAAACACCCCCCCCCCCCAGGACAGCATGCCTGTGCATGTACCCAACGGCGGCCCGCCCTCGTGCGATGAGGCCGGAGTGGGGGCCGGGTCTACGGGAAGTGGTGCCGCGTGTTGGGTCCGGTGCTGTGTGTTGGGTCTGTGCTGTGTGTTAGGTCCAGAGCTGTGTGTTAGATCCGGTACTGTGTTGGTTTCATAGCTCGGAGTTGGGTTCTTCCGGCACTGTGCGTTGGGATGGCCGTGCGCTTGGGGGCGGACACCGTAAGTTGTGTGATGCTGCAACTCGCTTCCTGTGCCACTCGCTGCTTATCCAGCTGCGTGTTTGTACCACAGCGAATTTGCAGTGGGGTCATTGTGCAGCTTGCCCCGTGGTGCCACGCGGTGGCGGCTGCCGTGCCGTACGGCGGGTTTTGGGGGTGGAGGGACTCTAGCCGGTGCCACCGCCGGCCTCGCTCTCCTCCCCCTGGGTAATGATGTCACCACGGCGCGGGTCTGATTGAAATTCCTGTGGCATGCGTTATTTCCACATCAAAGGCGATGGTAATGGCTTTGGTAAGCACCGCACTGCGGCCCAAAACAAGGCTTGCATGCCTAATTACTCCTCTAATTTAATCGTAATGAGCCTTGAACAATTAATTGGCGGTTGCGTTGTAAATAATTAGCGCGGCCTGTGTTGATCAAAGGCGCGCGGTGCAGGCACCATCAGCGGGAGACACGGGATGGATTCTAGGCACGGCCGGGGCTAATTATCATGCCATTTCTGGGTTAGGCCAACGAGCACATTTACGGAAACAAAGCAATTAGTAACAGATGGGGGGGACCCAGCCCGGTGACGAAGGCAGCAGCCGCCGTTGTGGCATCTCGCCGCGCACGTACCGACCGCACGCCACAGCTCGTGCCGTGGTTTTTTTTTGTTTACACCACCTCCGGTGAAAACGCGGTCCCCTCGACCCCACCGACTCCACCGACCCCACGCCGCACGTCGCTTGCTTGTTGCGCGTGCACCGCTCGCACCGCGCTGGACCGTGCGCCGTGACGCTACAGGGACTGGGGACTCCCGTCCGTCGGCTACGATCGCACGGTTGGTGGCGATGGGCAATTAACCGCCAGGGCCGTTACCATTGCAGTTCTTATAAGCGGAGGTGGCCGGCTGGCTCGGAGCTCATGGAGATGGCTCGGCTGAGCTCCTGCATCGCTCGGCGATTAAACGGGTCGCCGCGGGCAGGGGCTCGTACGAGCGATGTGACGGCGAAAGGTGGAGATTGCGTGAGCGGAGGATCGGGCCCTCACCGATGACGCCACCCAGCCTTGTTCTGAGGCCACCGTCTCCAGGGAGTCACGGCCGTGCCTAGCACTGGCCCTTGTTTTATTTTTACTCTTGGGAAGTGGCACACGATGAAGCGAGCAAAAACCGCAGCTCGCAACGATCGCGCTGCCCCCTGATTGCCGCCAAGGCTGGCTGGTTGCTTTTAATTTTCTTTTCTTTTTCTCAGGGAGGCGGGCGAGGGGGGAATTCTCTTTCACCGGGACAACAATGGAGCCATTCACTGTGGCTGCCGCTAGCTCTCTAAAGCCCCTCGCTCTCCTCCGCAACTCCCCCTCCGTCTCGTTTTGTCTGTCTCCGTGTCCCTCCTCGTTGTCCGCCGATCCCACTCCCACTTCCCCCCCCCCCTCCCCCCGCTCTCTCTCTTTCTCTCTCTTCTCTCTCCAAGAACTGCAGGCTTCATTGTAATGACATTACTTGTGTTTAGCCAAGGCCGTTTATCTCGTTCTCTTCTGAAAGGGCCTTTTCAGCGTTTGCAGCGGTGGTCGCTTCATCGCCGGGATTAGCCGCGTGTAATCCTCTCGACCGACCGCCACCGAGCGGGGGTCTGCTGCCCGCTCGACGTTCAGACGTCGTGTAATTGGCTTCTCACAGACATCCACCCCCCCCCCCCAGTCTGGGCATTGTTCAGGAGACAAGCTGGGGGGGGGGGTGGGGGGCGTCGTTGCGTGGCTCCCCCCGGATTCTGGCCAGCTCCCAGCCTCCTGTAGAAATTCCCGTCCGGTCTCGCTGGAATCTCACCACAGTCTCTTTCCAGTTTCTTTTCCCCTGAGCCTCCTCCCCTAAAACGTCGTCAGTCTTCTTGAAGTCTCCATTCTGCGTTGTCTCTCCCTCCCATCTCTCTCTGGTCCTCCCCTCTTGTTGTTTTCTCTTGCTCCACTCTCTTTCGCTCTGTCTCCTTCAAGTCCCCCCCACAGTCTCCAGTCTTGGTTGAGGCTCTCCCTCTCATCTTTCTCTCCAGTCTCTTTCCAGTTACCCCGTCTCCTTCCTGTCTCTCTCAAATCTCCCCCGACTCCCCTGGGTCTTAGCCGGGGCGGGCGAGTGGGGCCATTGGGCGGGCGAGTGGGCGGGCGAGCAAGCGCCGAGTGGCAGGGCGACCGCTCGCTGGGGCCGTTCGTTTTCTCGCCCGTCCGTGTGGTGCGTGCGGCGAGCACCACTTCTGATGGGAAAATCAATATTTGCTAAAAGCTAATTGAGGTCTGCTCGAGTCAGTTGTTCAAACAAATTGATGTAGCAAACATGGCTGCTTAGCTGTTCTCCCGCAAACAAACAAGGACCTAAGAGACCCAGCGCCGCTTTTAATAGCAGGCGGCGTTATTTATTTATTGAGGTATGGTTCTGTGTTTTTGTACGGTCGTTTCTGCTCGTTCACTTGCCCCCAGGAGCGTGAACATCCCACGGTCCACGGCCATTAAGGGATCGACGAGCGGAATTCGGAAAGAAAATGTTTTTTTTTATGTTACACTCCAGAGTTAAAGTCAAAAAGTATAATTAACAAACAAAAAAAATCTCGCGGACATAAAGATCGGGTCGGGGATTGGCGAGATCGATTTCCATGAGCCGTGCTGTCCGCTGAGACAACACGGACGGCCGCCCTTGACGAATGCGGAACAGCGGAGAAAATCGAAGAAAAACTGCCACCTTTCATCCGAGTTCAGAAGTCGCGATTGCACCCGCCGTCCGCCCCCGCCGCCTCCCTCCGTCTCTCCACCTGACTGCTCGCAGCACCGAGGCAAAAGGAGCGCAAATCAAGAGCAGGGGGAGGACAGAGCGTGCACGGTGGGGGGGGAGGGGTGGAGCATGGGCTTAGACGCCAGCACAGAGGCCCTCGCCGGTCGCGTTTGCGCGCAGTCCGGCGCTCGTTACGGGGACATCAAAGCTTCCCCGAGTCGCCCCGCGTGCCCGCGTTTGTCTGCGCCCCAGGATCCCGTCGCCTTTGTTCGTGGCGACAATACCGGTTCGCATTCCGCGCCCGCTTCGGGCCGCTCGCCAGAGGCGGGGGTCGGGGGACAGAGCCGCGGCAAATCGGGTTTCGGGGGACGCTACCGCCCGCCTGATATTTTGCTCGGGCGAATATTTTTATGGGTAGTCAGTCTGCAAACGGCGCGGCTCACGAGCTCGTCTCCATGGCTCGCCCCGTCCCCGAATCGCCGGCGGGACGTGCTCGCGCCGGCGAGGGGGGTCGTGTTTCCCAGGCGGCTAGTTCGGTATTAAAAATGTAGACGACACGCCGCGGCGGGCGAGCAGTAGAATTATTTGGTTTCTGTGTTCGCTAAACGAGCGAAGAAGGAAAGCGTGCCCGGCCGGAATGTCGACGCGGCGCGGTCACACGCGGGCGCATCCTACCGGTGCGCCCGCTCGCCGGGGGGCAGCTGCTCGCTCCGTGTTTGGCCCCTAGTTGAGAGGCGCTGCGGTAGCGATGGACGCTCGCGTGGGGCTGCCGCCGCCGTGGGGCTGCCGCGTGTTTACACTTCTCCCCCGCCGGCCGGTGGCGGCGTTGTTTGTTGGCGGATCTCTTTAGCGTAAGTGTCTTGGACGCAGACATTGGGCGGAGGTTGACGGGCGAAACACGAAAGATCCACCGCCGGGGAGCCCGGTGGGCACAGCGCGCCCCGCCAGGCCGGTTTGCTTGGATTTAGTGGCCCCCCGATTCTCAGTGGCGATCACAGGCTCCACCGACGATCTCGTCTCTGGCAGGGCCAGCCAGGTTCTGCGAAATCGAACCTCGTCGTCATAATCTCCGCGGGGCATTATTCTTTAGTGCGGAGCGTGAGTTCATCGGCGTGAGCTGAGTTCCGAGAGCCGTTACCGTCCGTGCCTTCCCGCTGCAGCAGCATCGGCGTACGTGAGGGGCGACGGCTCCGTCATCGCCCGCTCGTAGAGGAGGTCGTCACCTCGTGATCTCCCTCCCCGTGTGCCGTCCGGTGTCTGCGAGATGAGGAGAAGCCAGCTAGACTACCGGACATGACGACCAGTCGCGGTTAGGATGATGGCTTTGGGAGTACGGCGAGGGTGTTTTGATGTTAATATTGTTGTTATTATTTCGGAACGTGCATTGAGATTATTTCGATTGATAAGTCACTTTGTTGTTGAGCTATCAATTTGTGGCCAGGTTGCATCTGAAAAATAAGTTAATACCACAGTGGGCTTTGCCTGGAATGATGGGGATGGTTTAGTGTCATCTTTGTGTGTGTTTGGGTGATTTGTTTACCTTTCTTGGACTCCTATCGTGTTTTTGTACTGTTTGTTTTTGCAACGTTCTTACCCGACCCTACTGCACATCTGTGAAAAAGCTCATTGGATTCCTCCAGTCGAAATAATGATTCTGATTCTGAACCCCAGGGTACAATTACCGTGCAAGGAATAACGACTCCTCCCTACCCCCCCCCCCCCCCCTCCATGCTCACACAGCCAAGGTCTCGGTTTTCACTCCAGTTGGGCTGGTGGGTTAAACAATGGGAGGTGGGTCAACACAATTGATAGCATTCTACGGAGGTCAAAATACTCTGCTGACACGCGTTGACCATCCAATTCGGTTCCCGCTCACGACCAATAATAATAGTGGCAAATATCTCAATCGGTCCAGGGCCTCCTCTAGGTCGGCTCGACCTTAGACGAGTACCCGGCGCGCTGCGTAAACATCGCCGCTAGGGAGACGTGGCCGCGCGTGGTGCTGGCCACCCTACCCCTACGCGCGCCATGACGGCACTCGCCACGAGCAGTCTCTCAAGGCCGCAGGGCGGGGTACGGGACCTTTGTCTGCAGATGGGTGCGTCAACGGCCTGTCGGGGGCCGCCGGTGGAGCCGGGGAGCCGCTGAGGCTCGCGAGGCCCCACGTGTCCGGCCTCGCGCGCAGCCAGGAGCAGAGCAAGGAGAGCCTGCCGAGCCCCCCGGCCCCCCCCGCCAGCGCCGCCGCCGTCGTCGCCGCCGCCGCTGTCCCCCCTTCCGGGGCCCCGGCGACGCCGCGCCACGCCGGCGCCGAACGGCGCACGCCGCAGCCCAAGCCCCAGCTGCCTCCGCCGCAGCTCCGGCAGCCCTCGCTCACGCCGGTGAGGCCCTCCGCCGACTCGTCGCCCTGGTCCTGGCCCTCGTGCGGCCTGGGGGGGGCGGCACTGTCGCCGCCGCCGAGGGCTCGGGTTAAGATCCCGGCATCGAGCAGCCGCCCCCTCCCCCCCCCATTGAGTCGATGGTTTTGGCCAACAGAGACCCGTAAACCCCAAGCAGTGGAGATTCCGTAGTCTCACACGGACTCGCAGACCTTACGCTGACAACCGCAGGCTCCCATATTAGAAATCTCTCCATGGGCTTGCGCAGAAACCCGTAGGTTCGTAAGCACCCGTTTGCCCGCATAGTCGCCGATAGAGTCACACGTAGGCGGAGTTGTTGAGTTGTGATTAAATAGAGTGGTGAGTTGATGGTCTCGACCCGGTCGCCAATGACTGCACGAAGAAAAAAAAAACTGTCGTGTTATGTTTGGCCCTGCGCTTATTTCTGCACACACTCACCGGCGAGTCGGTGAGCCGGTGAGCCTTCCTTCCTTCTCTCCTGACGGTCACCCTCAACCCCCCCAACCCCCGTCGTCCGCCTCCTTTCTCGCAGACGCAGACGGCCAGCGCGGTGCCCCAGTCGGCGGCCAGCACCCCCGCCCGCCTCGCCACTCCTCCGCAGCCGCGGCCTCAGTCGAGGCCGTCCAGCAACCCCCAGCCGCAGGCGCAGTCCAGGCCGCAGCCGGCGTACAGCAGCGGCATCAGCAGCGTCAACTCCAAGAGGTGCGCCCCGGGGCTGTGCCCCGCCGACGCTGACTTCGGTGACGTCAGCGGCCCGTCGCTCAGTCGGCCCTTAAGCCGAGCGGGCGAGGGTGATGGTTTTGGGTGTACACCAGTCCAGTATTATTCTTCACTAATTTTCGGTGGGGGGGTGGTGGGGGCGGTGGGGGGCGGAGATGGGGGAGGGGCGGTGGGGAGTGGGGGGACACTTTCGCCAATAAGACATCATCAGTGGGAGGGCTGCCGCACATTTGAAACCATTGGGGGTTTGACAGCAGCACGACGATGGGGGGTGTTTTGGGGGCTGCCACGTCAAGGCCCGCGCTGAAGGCCACCAGGGGCCACCAGTGGCCCCGCGGGCCTTGCAACGAAGAACACAGGTGTACACGTTACAGGCTCTTCTTGCGTGGCCGTTTAAAATTGAGAAAAAGGGTAAAGGGGCAGCCCTGCAGTTGCTTGCTTGCGCAACTGCTGCTGGCGGCATAGCCCTCCGCGAGAGGAAGAAGTAAAGAGAACGCATACAGTGCGCAGCGCCTCTCTCGCTGCTAGCGCCATCCCCTTGCTGCCAACTCCCTCCACCCTCCGCCAGATCCTACGGCTGCTGCTGCTGCACACACGGCCACCTCCGAGATGTCCCCTCACCGGTAATCGGCCCTCCTTCCCCACCCTGCCTAGCGGCTCCCAGCCCAGCGCAGACGTTTTATGCATCGTCGTCGTAATCTGCTTCACGTCTCCCTCGTTGAGTTCTCAGTTCTCGGTGCAGTCGGCTCTTCACTTGAAAAGGCGGCCTCTAACTAAATCTGCAAACCGCGGAGGGGAAAACGGCGGCCGCCTCTCTCTCTCTCGCGTGCCAGCGCGCGTGCGGGCGGGTGTGCGGGCGACTTGGGAGAGCAGGATTGATACGCGCTCGCTCTCGCAATCGAGAGCCGCTTTTGCTCAAACAGCCCTGGCAGATGCCCTCGCGAGAGTTCTCCCACTTCCCTCTCAGCGTCAGTGCCGCCGCCACGCGCGTGCGTGCTTGCGTGCTTGCGTGCGACGTGGTCTGACGTGTGTCCTCGTTGGCGCTCGTGCAGCTTTAATGAGCGACGACAATCGGATTCATCCCGCGGGGGGCGGGCCCTCCCGAGCCGTCTCCGCTAAGACCCCAGCGGCCCCCCGCTTCGCCGCCCACCCCGCGTTAGAGGCTCACCGTCCGAGAAGCGGAAACATCATGCCGCACGACAGCCGCCCCCCCCCAACACCCCTGCCCCCAGCCCCCCCCCCCCCCCCCCGCCGTGCGCCACGAAACGACGTCCTCTCACGGTGTCGGTTTTACTAAAACGATGTTTAAGTGGTGGGGGGCGGCTTAGGTTGCTGGGAAGATGCGTCAGTGCGCCGTGATTGGCCGCCACCGGCTTGCGCGAGACATCTCGGTGAGATATCCCAGTTGTGTTCGGGGCTCCGCCGCCGTGACTGAACGTGCAGCGCCGTCTTTGCTCTGGGCGGTTGTCGAAACGTGAGCACGCAGTGTGATGTTACCAGGCTGCGCGGATGGCGACGACGACGATGACCGTGAAGCTGACGATGAAAGTGGTGAGGGTGTTTTGCTTTGAATAACGTCTCGCGCGATGTGCGCGTGTACCTGCACGCACACTCGCTCGTATCCCGAGCGCGTGTGGGTGGATGAGCGCGTGTGGGTGCGTGCGGGTGCGTACGAGTCCGTGAGAGCCGCGCTTGTGCCGCCTGACCCCCCCCCCACCCCTCCCCCCACCCGTGCGTCTGCGCAGCAGCCGGAGCAGCACCCCGCTCAAGTACCTGACCCCGCCGGCGCACGCCCACGCGCACCACCGCACGCCCACGCCGAGCCACACGCCCACGCCCTCCCTCTCGCTGCCTTACCCGGGCTACCCCCCGGGGCTGGCGCAGGGCTACGCCGCTCCGCCCACGCGCCAGCACGCCCACCAGCACCCGCACGGCCACCCCCACGGCCACCCGCACCTGGCCGACTTCTCGCCTCACAGCTGCCCGACGCCCCCGCTCAGGCACCCTCACGCGCCTCACCCCGCGGCGGCAATGTTCGCGCCGCCCCCCACGGCCCCGCTCCCGTCGCCCGCCCTGCCCGTGCCCGGTCACCCCTCCAACCCGGCCACCTACTCGCCAGGTGAGTCTCCCCGAGCGGGCCGAGCGGGGCCCGGGTCGGAGGTTGCGGACGCGCGTTTAGGGGGCGGCTGCGTGGCCGGGATGCTGGGCGAGAGAGCGCGGGGTTCCCCCGAGATAATTTGTATTTTCGTGCCACAGCTGTCCGAGCCGACGCTGCGCTCGCGCGCAAGCTGCTGCGGGTGCTCGTGTCGAGTGGCACCGCGAGCCGAGACGCTCGCGTTTTGCTCGCGCTGTGTGAGCGACGGCTCCGGGTGGGGGGGGGGGCGAAGGAGGGAGGCCGAGGGGTGGGTGCTTGATATTTGGCGAGGAAAATTTCTTTACGTTTAGTTTATTGCAGAAGTCGTTTGTGAGATTGCCGTCATTTTAAGAGCGCAATTTTAGCGCATGCCCGATTATCCAATATGTGATTAAATGTACCGATGTAGCGGGCTGTTGTTGGATGCGATGCCACGGTTGTGATTTTACGATGCCTTGTGTGTGAGTAGCGTGTCTCCCTTGCGGGACCGTGCGGTCGCCTAGCGTTTAAAGACACTGCCGTGAACTCGGTACACGAGCCACGAGCCACGCGCCGCTCTAATTGAACCTCGGTATTTCACGTTTTTGGCTCGAATCGTGTCGGTGGAGGAGAGGAGGAGGCCGCATGCATAAAACGTAAAATATGTAACAGAGACATTTAAAAAATAATAATAACCTTCACCGTTTACGGAAGAGAACAACCGAATAATCTCGGCCTAAGTCGTTGAATGAGTTTGGATTTTTGATTGGGCAGTGTTTTTATCGTGCATTTGAAATGTTGATAAGAAGTATCAAGAAGCGATGGTAATGACACCATGAGAACATATCAACATATATATATATACCGCGTGCCGGAGTGACCACACACACCACCGCCGGAGAGCCTGCAACCACGGCGCACGACGCCGCCGCCGCCACCATATCGCGGTGCGACTGTTATCTCTCTATTCGAACCAAGGCCCCCCACCCACCGTCCCGCCGGTCCGTCCCTTTGGGCAAATTTCCAATGCCAACGTGGCCACGCGAAGCCCTCTGATAATAACAACGCTTAAATGTTTTAAGACAAACCAAGAATTTGGAACCGACGGAACGAGCGAGCGGGCGGGCGCTGAAATTGCAGGCTCGCCGGGCATGCTGAGTGCTGGCGGCGTGGGCCAGCGAGCGCGCGTGGAGGAGTAACCGCTGCTGCCTGCTGCTGCTGCTGCGCGTCTTGTTGTGTCTTCAGATCACGCCAGCCTGCCACTAGCCTACCTCCAGCCAATCGTGTACTACCAGCGCCAGTTGGAGACTCTGATTGGCTATTTCCCGACTCCTCCTCCTCCTCCTCCACCTCCACCAATCGCATCACACCTGCCTCCTCCTCAGCTGGGCCTTAGCTGCCCGGATCGGGAGTGCAAGGTGAATGCCCTTCTTAGTTTTACTCTCTACCGTCGCGGTCGCCGCTGCTCACGGCTGCCGGTGCCCGTGTGCCCGCGCGGGGCGCCCCGTGTGTGCCTCTTGTTGTTGCAGACCCAGAGCTCCTCCGCCAGGAGCTCAACAGCCGCTTTCTGGCGGCGCACGGCGGCGGCGGCGCCGGCTCGGCGGGCAACCGGGGGGGGCCAGCGCCCCCCCCTCCGCCGTCGCAGCACCCGGCCTCCGCGTTGCCGGCGCCGCCGCCGCCGCCGTACTACCGCGCCGAGTTTCACCAGCACCAGCACACGCACCAGCACACCCACCAGCACACGTTCACCCCATTCCCGGGCGCCATCCCGCCCGCCCTCGCGCCAGGCGCCACGGCCGCCGCTTTGCTGCCGGGGGGCCCCATGCCCCCTCCCCCGCCCATCCCGACGCTGGTGTGTGCCCCCTGTCTGGGCTGGATAAGTAAAACACCCCTCCCTCCGCTCCCTCCGCTCCCTCCGCTCCCTCCGCCCCCCCTAACCCCATTCCCTACCTGCCCCCCCCCCCCCAACCGCCCCATTTCCCCCATCTTCTGGTTCCCTCCTCTCGCTGGCGCGCGAGGGGCAGCCCCTGAGTGAAACTGTGAGCGTGGCCGCGTGTGGCCCACGTGACTGCTGCTGATGCTGTGAGAGAGACTGCTTAGTGGTGTTGGTGTTTGTGTGTGGGCGCGTGTGGGTTTGTGTCATTGTCTGCATCTACCTTTGTGTGTGTGTCTGTGTGTTTTGGGTTTATGTCAGTGTGTGTCTGGGTTTGTGTCAGTGTCTGTGTATCTTTGTGTGTGTGTGTCTCTGCCGTCTGGGTTTAAGGCAGGGTGTGAGTCAGTGGTTATACGAGTGAGTGAGTGTGTGTGTCTCTGCCGTCTGGGTTTAAGGCAGGGTGTGAGTCAGTGGTTATACGAGTGAGTGAGTGTGTGTGTCTCTGCCATCTGGGTTTAAGGCAGGGTGTGAGTCAGTGGTTATACGAGTGAGTGAGTGTGGTGTGTCCATGTTAGTGCGTGTGTCCGTGTTAGTGCGTGTGTCTGCGTGTGTCCGTGTTAGTGCGTGTGTCTGTGTGTGTCCGAGTCGCCGAGTCACTTGTTGCGTCCTGACGGTTCGACCGGCATGGCACTCGTCACCGCCGCTGTTTTTGAAATTTGCTCATTAGCTGCAAGTGCGCTCTCTTGTTTTGCTCATGGAAAAATATACTTGAGGATTAACTGCCGTTTCAATTCCAATAAAGCATCTATTTGTAGTTTTTTTATATATATAGTTAATCTGTAATGAACGTATTCCCTTTAAACGCAACGCGCCGGCGGACGCTGACCCGTGTGTTGTCCCTCTCTCCGTCTCGTTGCAGTTCGACAAGTACCCCGCCAAGTTGGACAGCCCCTTTTACCGACCGTCGAGCGTAAGTTCGCCTTGTTCCCGTCCCTGCCGACGCCAACGTTTGAACTCTGAACTCGATCGCTCGGACCAAAAAACGTTTCCTCTTCCCCCGCGCGTGCCGGCGCACGGCACGTGGAAGCGGCAGTGGCGCCGTGGGCGGCGGTGGCCGCCGCGCGTCTGTCCGTGGTTTTGCGCATGGCGCCGGCGCGGCCGGGTTGGTTAACCGCCGCTGCTGCCGCCGTCTCCCTGTGTTTCGCAGTTTTTCCCGCCCTACCACTCAAGCATCCCTGCAATGCCACCGCTCTTCCCGCCTGCTCACTTCGGCTCGCTGCAGGGTGCCTTCCAGCCCAAGGTGCGGGGTCTCTCACCCTCCCCCTGTCACGCCCCCCCCCCCTTCTCCCTCCGCTCTACCGCCCCTTCCCTTTGTTTGGTTCCGTCTTGGCTTTCCGAATCGCCGTCCCGACAACCGTGATCCCGCACGACGACCGCCCCGCTCGCCGCGAGCTGCGCGCTTCACTGCATTTGCCGCGCCCCGGGCTCAACGCAATTTAAGAAAAATCAATACCGAGTGAAATCTCCTTCCTTCCTTCCCTTCCGTAATCACCAACCCCCCCGCCCCTCCCGCCCCCTCGGCCGCCGGCTGCCGCCGCGCGACATCTCGAATAAATGCGTTCAAGACCCAGGGTCTGCGGCGGAAAAACACGGAAACCCGTTTTTTTGGTTTTAAATGAATACAAAAAACAAACGGAAGTAGGGCCGCCCCCGCTGCTGCGACCGCATCATTCGGTCGGCCACTCGGGGAGCGCCTTGCGTCGGCAGCAGCCGAGCAAAACGCACTCCGATTGTCTGCTTGGGTCGGGTTACCCGTTTCCTGATTGGTTGCGTAGACGGACGGTATCTCAATTACACGTAATTTCATTACGTTTGTAATTTGTAATTGGTATCCGAATTACACAGCGCAAAGTAATTGGTCATTCGTATCTAAATTACATTTCCTCCGGTAATTAGTAATGTGAATGTTGTTTGCCCACCTCTCGCTATTTGTCGGGCGGTGCGAGTTTGCTGCCCCCGGTTGTGCGCGGCTGCCGTTAGCGGGGTTCTCGTTTGTGGCCTCGTGGCTCCCGCACGCACGCCCTGACCCAGGAGGAGACGGACGATGCGCAGCCCAGAACCAACCGCGTGACCCCGTGTGTGACCCCTCCGCAGACGGCAAGTCCGATGGACGTAGGCCCGGGCCGGGCGGGGTCGCTGCCATCACACAGCCTGCTGACCAAGGACCCGCGGGTAAGAGTTCGCAGCCCGCACGGGGTGACAGCACGCACAGAATACAGACAAAGATCCCCCCTGAAGCCTTAACAGACTCTCGGGGCAAGTGCTGTTTGCGAGCACCTGTGAAGGCCGGCACAGCACAGGAGGGGGCAAGGGTGTTGGGTTGCCAACACCGTGCCCGGCTGCCTTTGTCTCAACAAGAGACGATAAGCACGGTTGGCTATGTACGGTGTGAAAGAAGTTCAACATACACACCGCACCAAGTGTATAACCTTTAAAGGATGAGTCGACCTTGGGGAGGCCCAGGACCGGTTCAGATCGTCGCTGTTGTTGGTCGTGAGCGGGAATCGGATTCGGGTCACCGGGTTCGTAGAGCGGCGCGCTAACCGCTGCAACACCTCTCCCCCACGTATTTGCACGCACGAGCCTCACGAATTACAACGCCCGCACCGGGCCAAGCGGAGCGGCTGATGCGCTTTAACCGTCGCCTTTTCTCTCCTCCCTCCCCTACGTTCCCCCACCCCCCTCCACCCCCCGACAGCTGACGGATCCGTTTAGACAAACGCTCAAGGTGAGCCGCTCTCGCGTCGCTGTGCACCGCACCGCTCGCTCGCGCGACTGTCGCGCCACGCGGTGGGGGGAGGGGGGAGTGCACGCGCCCACCATTGTCGAGTTGAGGTTTAACGTTGCTCGCCTTGCTGTGTGTGTGTGCGTGCGTGCGTGTCGCCTGCAGAAGCCTGGCAAGTGGTGCGCTGCCCACGTGCATATCGCCTGGCTCATTTACCACCAGCAGCAGAAAGCCAAGGTCAGCGCAGCCGTTTAAATAGACGTCTAGATTTGACGCCGCTGTCCCCAGAGTCTCTACACCCCTGCCCATGCCCTCTCCTCGCTCTTACCCCCCCCCGCTCCCCACGAGCACTCCCTGCCCATGTTCAAGTCCAGGCTATGTTTAGACGCCGCATAGAAATCCGCGGCGCTGCGTTGTTGTGCTGTGTTCGCACGACGCAGGGTTGTGGGTAGCCGGGAGCGTTCCGTGTACTCGCCGCACCGACCGGCACGAGGTAACAGATCGCTTGACACTCGCCGTGCCGCGCGATCCCTGTGGGGAAAATTACCGACGCGCCTCCGGCCGGCGTTACGGCTGGACGATGAATGATAGCGGCGGTCCCTTCCCCCGCACGGCCAAGCCCTGCCTGGGTGACGTTGTGCGTCCGCGGGCTATCTTTTACTTCCAAATAAAGCGCGCGAGTTGAATTATTAACGAGGGAGCCGCGACGCACGCAGAGCCAGCGCCATTCCGAGACGTACGCTTCTCGTTACACCACTTGCCGTAAAACCTATTCGCACGCGGACGTTATGTTACGCTCGTACGTTACGTTCACACTTAGTATTAAGGGGCTATTGCAGCAAACGAGTCCTGCCTGACCTTCGACCTCTTGACCCGCCGTGCAGGCGCTGCACAGCGACCCTCACAAGCTGGACCTGGGCCTCAAGCCTGAGCTGCTGGGCCCCGCCGGCCGGCCCGGCATCCCGGGGCTCTTCCCCGGGTACCCGCACCCTGCCGACCTGGCACGGCCCGGCGCTCTCTTCTCCACGCCCGGCGGGCCTCCGGCGAACCCCTTTGGTGTGCCGCCCCCGCAACACAACAGCTTCCTCAGCCCACCCGGTCACCTCGGTGAGTGCTGCCCGCCACCTCCCTGTGTCGCCCACTGGTAATAACAACAACTGCAGTAGCAGCAACGACAAGGACAGCGACCGTCGGAAACGTTTGGTGTTCGTGCCGTTCTCACAGCAGCAATTCTCTCGCGAAGGGAGGCCACGTCGGCGCTGTGTTTCACGGGCGGGTGTAGTCGGCCAGTAGGAGCCGATGTCGCTCTTTGGTTTTACCCAATTGCGGAATCTCGGGGTCATTTTTCAAACGATGGCAAATTTGGAGCGCGACGCCGGCACACGTGGCCCACTCTCTCGCGCGTCGCCGCGGTAGCCGCGCTCGCGTCCGTGTGATTCGCCGCCCCCGCGCCTGTCCCTGCCCTCACCACCCCCACCCCCCCCTCACCCCCCCACCCCCACCACCAGCGGTGGACCCCTTCGGCCGGCCGAGCGGATTCACTGGACTCGGCAACCTGAGCACGAGCGCGTTCGGGGGCCTGGGGAACCCCACGCTGGGTGAGAACGCCTTCTTTCCGTCGTTGTGGTTGCAAAGTGCCGCGCTGCACAGAGCTGCACTACATAGGGCAACACCGTTCCAAAACACGTTCGGTAATGACGCACCGCGCGGCAAACGCACCACACACCGCGCGCACGCACACCCCACGCACGCGCGCACACGGCAGTACGTCACGCTGCGTCATGCCATGCGTATGACAACACAGCAGCATCAGCGTCACAGCGCGCGCGCACAGCACGCCGTACACAATACGCCACGCACACAGCAATGCGTCACACGGGTGCACCATCACGCCGCACTCAGCAGCAGCACATTATACAGACAGCAACACCCAACACACCACACTGCACACACCACGCCACACACCAAACACACCATACACTACACAGCATCATGCTATACTCAGCAACACACCAAACACAATACACCACACCGTACACACATTAACACGTCACGCACCACACACAATACACCGTACACACATTAACACATCACACACCACACACAATACACCGTACACACATTAACACGTCACACACCACACACACCACAACATACACACATTAACACGTCACACACCACACACAATACACCGTACACACATTAACACGTCACACACCACACACAATACACCGTACACACATTAACACGTCACGCACCACACACACCACACCATACACACATTAACATGTCACACACCACACACAATACACCGTACACACATTAACACGTCACACACCACACACAATACACTGTACACACATTAACACGTCACGCACCACACACACCACACCATACACACATTAACACGTCACACACCACACACAATACACCGTACACACAGTGGCGGCTGGTGATATTTATTTTTGGGGGGGCGCATTTTTTTTATTTTATTGAGGGGGGCAAATAAATATAAAGCAGTACCAAAAACCATTTTGACTACTTTAATATAAATTTTGATGATCTTTATTTACATTTCAGACCAAAAGAAGTACCAAAAAGTATGTTTCCTACTTGAACATAAATGTTTCTCTTTTATATACATTTCAGACCAAAGTACCAAAAAGCATGTTTCCTACTTGAACATAAATGTTTCTCTTTTATATACATTTCAGACCAAAGTACCAAAAAGCATGTTTCCTACTTGAACATAAAAACGTTAGTTTCATGCTATTATCAATATGGCTGCGGCTACTTTCATGACGTTTGCATTTGTCAGAGAGATGTTTGAGGTCTCTTACCCCCGTCGTTGTCCACAAAACTTCAGTGCCGACACTTTGAAATAAAAGACAGGGAAAACAAAAAAGAGAATTGCTAACATCACATCCAGCCAGCCACCTCTGTTTCTCATAACAAGCGCGGGTGAAGCTTCGTGTGTAGCTTCGTCCTTTGTCACTGGCCTGCTGCTGGATTTGTAAATCGGGTTGGTCCGGTCCGAGATCCTTTATCTTTTTTATTTCTTCCAGCGAAAGCCTTGTGAAAGGGTTTTTTTGTAAATAAATTACAGAATTTGGATGAACTGCTGCCATTGTTTACACAAAAAATTTGATCAGCCTAGCAAGTGTCAAAGTGGTGTCGCCTGCGCACTCGCAGTAGTGGCCCAGAGCGTAAATTTGAATGACAGGTGACGAGAACCAATCAGATTGGATAAAATAACATGTATCCAATTCTGATTGGCCAGGGACGCAACGACTTGCGCCCCGAAGAGAATCTTTAAGAAACCAATTAGAGACCAGCTTCAGGTCACATGCTGTCCGAAAATTTAAAGTCTCACATAGACATCCATTTGTCCGGCGCCCCGCATGAAACACATTGAAAAACATAGAAAATAGTTGACCGATTAAAGCCAGTTTTTATTAAATGCTGATGCTTTTCTTACTACCAGCCGGCACATCGTATGAAAAAAAAATTTTATTTATGTATTTTTATATAAATTTTGTTTATGTATATTTCTTGAATATTGATGGGGGCGGCGCCCCTGCGCCCTCTATTGACGAGCCGCCACTGCGTACACACATTAACACGTCACACACCACACACAACACACCATACACACATTAACACGTCACACACCACACACAATACACCGTACACACATTAACACGTCACACACCACACACAATACACCGTACACACATTAACACGTCACACACCACACACAACACACCGTACACACATTAACACGACACACACCACACACAATACACCGTACACACATTAACATGACACACACCACACACAATACACCGTACACACATTAACACATCACACACCACACACAATACACCGTACACACATCACACACCACACACCACACACAATACACCGTACACACATCACACACCACACACACCACACCGTACACACATTAACACATCACACACCACACACACCACACCGTACACACATTAACACGTCACACACCACACACAACACACCGTACACACATTAACACGTCACACACCACACACAATACACCGTACACACATTAACACGTCACACACCACACACACCACACCGTACACACATTAACACATCACACACCACACACACCACACCATACACACATTAACACATCACACACCACACACACCACACCATACACACATTAACACATCACACACCACACACACCACACCGTACACACATTAACACGCCACACACCACACACAACACACCGTACACACATTAACACATCACACACCACACACAATACACCATACACACATTAACACGTCACACACCACACACAATACACCGTACACACATTAACACGTCACACACCACACACACCACACCGTACACACATTAACACGTCACACACCACACACAATACACCGTACACACATTAACACGTCACACACCACACACACCACACCGTACACACATTAACACGTCACACACCACACACAATACACCGTACACACATTAAAACGTCACACACCACACACAATACACCGTACACACATTAACACGTCACACACCACACACAACACACCGTACACACATTAACACGTCACACACCACACACACCACACCGTACACACATTAACACGTCACACACCACACACAATACACCGTACACACATTAACACGTCACACACCACACACAATACACCGTACACACATTAACACGTCACACACCACACACAACACACCGTACACACATTAACACGTCACACACCACACACAATACACCGTACACACATTAACACGTCACACACCACACACAACACACCGTACACACATTAACACGACACACACCACACACAATACACCGTACACACATTAACATGACACACACCACACACAATACACCGTACACACATTAACACATCACACACCACACACACCACACCGTACACACATTAACACATCACACACCACACACAATACACCGTACACACATCACACACCACACACAATACACCGTACACACATTAACACGTCACACACCACACACAATACACCATACACACATTAACACGTCACACACCACACACAACACACCGTACACACATTAACACGTCACACACCACACACAATACACCGTACACACATTAACACGTCACACACCACACACACCACACCGTACACACATTAACACATCACACACCACACACACCACACCATACACACATTAACACATCACACACCACACACACCACACCATACACACATTAACACATCACACACCACACACACCACACCGTACACACATTAACACGTCACACACCACACACAACACACCGTACACACATTAACACATCACACACCACACACAATACACCATACACACATTAACACGTCACACACCACACACAATACACCGTACACACATTAACACGTCACACACCACACACACCACACCGTACACACATTAACACGTCACACACCACACACAATACACCGTACACACATTAACACGTCACACACCACACACACCACACCGTACACACATTAACACGTCACACACCACACACAATACACCGTACACACATTAAAACGTCACACACCACACACAATACACCGTACACACATTAACACGTCACACACCACACACAACACACCGTACACACATTAACACGTCACACACCACACACACCACACCGTACACACATTAACACGTCACACACCACACACAATACACCGTACACACATTAACACGTCACACACCACACACAATACACCGTACACACATTAACACGTCACACACCACACACAACACACCGTACACACATTAACACGTCACACACCACACACACCACACCGTACACACATTAACACGTCACACACCACACACAATACACCGTACACACATTAACACGTCACACACCACACACAATACACCGTACACACATTAACACATCACACACCACACACAATACACCGTACACACATTAACACGTCACACACCACACACAATACACCGTACACACATTAACACGTCACACGCCACACACAATACAACACACCGTACACACATTAACACGTCACGCACCACACACAATACACCGTACACACATTAACACGACACACACCACACACAATACACCATACACACATTAACACGTCACACACCACACACAATACACCGTACACACATTAACACGTCACGCACCACACACAATACACCGTACACACATTAACACGACACACACCACACACAATACACCATACACACATTAACACGTCACACACCACACACAATACACCGTACACACATTAACACGTCACACACCACACACAATGTACGTACAACACAACAATCGCTCAGCATCACACCGTACACAGCAACATATCGCACAGCATTACGATGTACACAGCAACACATGGCAGAGGATCACACCGCACAATGTCGCACTACACATTGACACAGCACAACACGTGATAATACACCGCACGGCATCACACCACACCTCGGCACACACCGCACCACACCCTACCGCAGCACACCACACGATATGCTCGACGCTGTCGCCAAACTCCTGCACCAGCGCACCGACTTTCAATCCGAGTATAGATGAAGCACGCATCACCACTTGCTCATCGCTAAGAGAAATCCCCATCACGTGCGTGTCTCTCCGTCCCTTCCTCTGTGGCCTCCCGCAGCCTCCAGCAGCGCGCTGTTCGGCGCCAAGGAGGGCCCGCCCTTCCCGGGCTTCTCGAACCCCCACGAGCCGTGGAACCGGCTGCACCGCACGCCGCCCTCCTTCCCCACGCCGCCGCCCTGGCCCAAGCCGGGCGACGCGCCCGAGCGCAGCTCTTCGGCGAGCCAGGAGCGCGAGCGCGAGCGGGACAGGGAGCGCGAGAGGGAGCGGGAGCGCGAGAGGGAGCGCGAGAGGGAGCGGGAGCGGAGCCAGGACCGCGAGCGCAGCAACGCGGCGGCCGTGGCGGCGGCCGCGGCGGCTGCGGCGGCGGCGGCGGCCGCGGCGGCGAGCAGCACGGCTCACGAGAGGGAGCGCAACGGCGGCCTGTCGGGCCACGAGAGGGAGCGCAGCCACTCGGCGAGCGCGGACAGAGATCGGGGAGGCCACCTCGTCGGCGCGGACAGGGAGAGGGCGCAGCCGGCCGGCGCGCCGGACAGGGAGCGCAGCTCTTCGGCCAACGCCGAGCGCGAGAGAGGCCAGATGATCCCCGCGCAGGCGAGGGAGCGGCCGTTCCCCGGCCACGGAGAGAGGGAGCACGGCCAGGAGAGGGAACGCGGTCACGAGAAGGAGCGCTGCTCGCAGCCGGCCAATCACGACAGGGAAAGGTCGTCCGCCGTGCCCAATCACGACAGGGAGCGCCCTTCGCTGGCCAATCACGAGAGGGAACGTGGGTCGGCGCCGCCGCCCATGGCCCTCCCGGAGAGGGAGAGAATCGGCCTGCCCACGCTGGCCAATCAGGAGAGAGGAGACGTCGAAAAACGTGACCTTGGCTTCAGCAAGGATGACAAGGAGAGAGAAAGGTAAAAATAATGGCCGTTACTTCAGAAATGGTGATGTGGTTCAATTGATTTGAATCTAAATTAAATCGCTGATATAAATATAACTGCAGTGATGAGTATGTGATGCACGGCGAGTGATGGCATGGCGTCGTTTGCCCCCCCTCCTCTCCCCCGCTTTGCCCCCCCTCTCACTTCCCCCGCCCCACCCCGGCAGGGACGCTTGCGAGCGCGGCCGCATCCCGAGCCGGCCGTCGCCCATGGCGACGTCGCGGACGCCTCCCTTCCCCGGCTACGACGGACTGCGGGAGGCCGAGCGACCGCGCGCCGACCTGCCCGAGCGCCAGGGCAGCGTTCCCGAGCCGCCCGACAGGCCCTCGGGCCGCGGTGGCGGCGACCGGGAGGCGCCCCCCGACATCCGGAAAGACGGCCTCGCCGCCTGCGTGGCGTCCGCCGCTCCGTCCCTTGAGACGCGGCCCAAGGAGGAGGCGACATCGCCCACGGAGGGGAGAGTCGGCCCGGCCGAGTCGCGGGCCAAGGAGGCGACGATGGCGGCGCCGTCCTCGCGCGAGAGCCACGGCGACAAGCGCAACGGGGACGACGGCGGCGGCGCCGCGGTCGGCGGCCGCGCCCGCTGCATCTCGCCGTTCTGCCGTCCCCACGGGGCCGCGCTGCCCGGGCCGAGCGGGCCAGACGCGGCGGCCGCGGCGGCGTCCGGGCGACAGAGCGGCGGCGCCGAGAGGCGGGCGCAGCCGTTCGTGTCGGGACTGGGCGAGCTGCAGCGCGTCAAGGAGGAGCGCAAGGAGGAGAGCGAGACGCAGCACTCGCTGGGCGCCGCGGCCATCATCACCAGCAGCGGCGGCGCGGGGCCCGGCGTCGCCTCCTTCGTGGGCGCCCGTCCCGGCGACCCCTACCACCACCTGGCGGCCGGGCTGCCCCCGCAGTCTCACCCGCTGCCGCCCAGCTCCGGCATGCTGAGCGGCTCGCACTCCTCCAACCTGGCGCTGCTCGACCGCACGCGCCTGCTGTCGGCGGCCACGGGCGTGGGCCAGGGCCACTACCTGGGCATGCCCCACCTGGGCCTCCAGAGCCGCGACCCGCGGTTCCCGCCGCAGCATGCGCAGCACCACAACCACCACCCGCAGCAGCCCCCCCAGCACCAGCAGCAGCACCACCCCATGATGAACCCGCCGCCGCCCTGGGTGGACGCCAGCGCGTTCCGCGACCCCTACAGGCTGGGCCTCGACCTCTCGGGCCTGCCGGGCGCGCACCGTTTCCCCGGGCCGTCGCACGCGGCGGCGGTGGCGGCCGCGGCGGCGGCCGCCGGCGGCTTCTACGGCGCCGAGAGCTACCGGGACCGCGAGCCGCACGACTACAACAACCTGCTGGAGGTGCGGCGGGGCGAGGCGGAGCGCGACGAGCGGGAGAGGCTGCAGTCGTTCCGCGACGACCTGGAGCGGGCGCGCGCCACCCAGCACGCGCTGCGCAACCCGTCCGCGGCGGCCGCGGCGGCGGTGGCCGCGGCCGGCATGGACCCTCTCGCCGGCGCGCATTACCACCCGCACCACCACCAGGGCTTCCTGTCGCCGCTCGGCCCGCTGCACTACCCCGGCTCCAGGCCCGGCCTGCCGCACGCCATGCACAACGGCTTCCTGAGCGGACCCGGCGGCGTGCCGGGAGGGGGCAAGCCCGCCTCGCTCGCGCCGCCGATGCCGCCGCAGCCGCAGCCGCCGTCGGCGTCGGCGGCCGCCATGGGGGGGCCCCCGCCGCTCATCCCCACGGGGGTGTCGCACCCGATGTCCCCGCGGCAGCCCGCGGCGCTCACGCCCCTGGGGGAGCCCAGCGACCGCTCGCCTTCGCGCAAGGAGGTGGAGGCGCGGTGAGCGCCGCTCGGCCGCCGCCACCAGCGGAGCCGGTTAGGTTTTAGTTTCGTGTGTAATGGATAACGATCGTCGCACCAACTTCGCCTTGGGCCGGCACGGCCGGCCGGCTTTGCCGTGCGAGCGGCCGGCCGGCGGGCGGGCCGGGCCCCGTTCGGCAACGGATGCAGGCCGGTGAGGTTCATCAAAGTTGGAACTAGATCCGTGACTTTTAATTTAAGGAACGCTCAGCTCTTGATAAGTTACACATCCGACAGGAATTATTTGTGCACTTTGGCGGCAGGCAAAAATTATGGTGGTGATGATGATGATATAAAATTAATACCGTTAGGAATAATATCATTTTAATAAGGATAATAATAACATGCACGTCTCGGCGGATGTGGAGACGCGACGATGGAGCGGGGTGGGGAGCCCTCGGGACTGCCGAGAGGTGCGGTCTCCCCCCGTCGCGCGGAATTTTTTCCGGACATCGCATGGCCAATTGGAGACGACACATCCCGCGCACGCCTCTCATCCCCCCCCCCCACCCCCACGGGCACGCAACCGCGGGGCAAGATTCCGAGATGGTGAACTCGAGAGCAAGTCCGACGGAGTCCGGGGAGGAACGGTCGCAAAGCTGTGGTGACGATCGCCTCCGGAGAGAGAGAGAGACCCTCTCGGCCCCATGAGAAACAAAACAAACAAACGAAAAAAAAATCTACAACAAATGGAAGCGTATATTTATTTTGAAGAAAGAAAGAAAAAACAAAAACCACGACGGCCCGCGTGGGAATTCGTCGCGCGAGGAGAGAGATTGAATGCGTTTTGCGCGGCGATTATCGAGTCGCTGCGAGGGGCGTCTCCGGGGCCTCCCCAACGGCGACGGGCTGAAGCTTCTCGAGCCCCGTGGCGACGCGCGCGGTGAACCCGAGCGGCGGAGGGCGTGAATAATCGGCCGTCTGTCGGGAACACGGGCCGCGGGGGTGGGTCTGGTCGCCAGGGCGCGGAGGAACGAGCGGAGCGCGCGACGGCCGTGACCGTGGCGGCGGCTGCCTCCCCCCACCAGCGATTTCAGAAACGAGCGGATGTTTTGTCTTCTCCGATGCCGTGCGGCGCCATTCTCGCTTCGTCACGACGGCAGGAACTGGCTTCGTCCCTGCAACGCGGCGGTGGTCCCGCCGGAGTCTGCCGCAGTCGACACACGTGGCTTTAGTTTCTTTTTTTTCTTTTTGTTGTCGCTATTGTTATCGATACTATAATTATCAATTAATTACCCATGGCAAAACATCACGCGCTTTGGCGGGAAGGGAGACACGAGGCGCGGCGTCACACTCTACACGGGGCCCCGAGGGTCGGTCGGTTGCGGCCTTGTCTACTCCAGTTGGGGTCGGGGGGGGGGGGGGCATTGTCGGGTCTAGTCTGGGCTTGGGTCGGGCTATGGGTCTATCCGAGTCTGGCCTGGGTCCGGTCTGGTCTGGTGGTGGAGGTCTTATATCTGGCCTGGGTTTGGCCTGGGTCTTGTTTGGCCAGTGTCTGATGGGAAAAGGGGTGGGGGGGTGGATTGAATCTAGTCTGGATCTGGCTTTTGTGACTGCTGGGAGCATCATGGGGCAGATTGTTTGAATCTACTGCATCTGTGTGAGATTCCTTGAGCGAGGCCACGGCGGGAAGTCACCGGATAGCAACGCACACGACGGACGGGTGGATTGACGGTGCGCGGATCGTGGCCCACACGGGCAAGCCCTGGCTCTCCTCGCCCGCTTCAATCTCCGACACGGGAGTATTTTTTGAAGCGGAGTGCGTGGCTTCATTATACGCACGCCGGCTCTCGGGTTAATTGTGAATTTCACTGTAACTGTTGCAGCGCTTTTCTTTTCTCGTTTGTACGCTAAGGTGAGAAGAAGTGTTACCCAAGTGTGAAGCGTAAAAATTGGGGAGAGGGAGGAGCGAGTGGCGGGGGGGGGGGTTAAATAAACAAAAAACGAGGAGACACAAAAAAATACGAAAAAAAAATGTATTTCCTGTATTTAAAATCGCTATTATTTATCATCATGTGTATTTCTCAAAGTCTTTCAAGGATGTCTGTAAAGTTGAACATTTATACCAGGAGGTGGGCGGGCGAATTCTGTGTCGCCTGCGTGCCCGATGCCCACATCCCCACTCTGTACACTCTGATATTTTATATGCAATCTGACCTTCGTCAAATCTCCCAATGTGCTGTGTAAATATACTTTACCCATAATCCCACTCACCCGCCTCCCACCTTAACACCCACACCCTCTAAGAGTCTGTCCCTTCTCTCTCTCTCTGCCCCCCCTCCGCCCCCCACCGTTTCTGTAAAGAATCACTGTCTTATAGAAATACTGAGGATAAATACAAGTACGTTTTGAAACTGACGCTTGGCTCGTGCATGCTTTGTTTGGTGCGCCCCCCCCCGGTCCCACCCTACTCACGTGTTTGTTGCTGCGCCCTTTGACGACCGAACACCCAGCCAGGGTAGCCAGGCAACCCCCCGGGTTATTTAGTTCCACGTGGGGCCAGGTGTTCACACGGAGAGAGATAAGCAGGCAGGTACATGGGGCGGCTGTATATCCGTGTAAACGTGCGGCCACGTGATTAGGTGGCTGGATGATCATGTAACCAGGCAATATTGCATCCAGGCAGGCTTCACCGCCAAGTAATCGCGTGTCCACGTGAGTAGGGATCCTGGGAGCCAAGGTGGCATCACCATTCTGCCCATCGCAAGACAACTGAAATGCGATACCAGTGTGTTAATCAAAACATTCGAATTTCACAATCATGCATTTCAGGGTGGTTCAACGCAAAGCACGTGTGGGTGTGTGTGTGCACGATTGCTCTGGTTTGGTAGGCGCATGTGCGTAGCTGTGGCGGTGCGTGTGTGCGGTGGTGACGGTGCGTGTGTGTGCGGTTGTGACGGTGCGTGTGTGTGCGGTTGTGACGGTGCGTGCGTGTGCGGTGGTGACGGTGCGTGAGTGTGCGGCGAGACGGTGCGTGTGTGTGCGGTGGTGACGGTGTGCGTGTGTGCGGTGGTGATGGTGTGTGTGTGTGCAGTGGTGATGGTGCGTGTGTGTGCGGTTGTGACGGTGCGTGTGTGTGCGGTGGTGACGGTGCGTGCGTGTGCGGTGGTTACGGTGCGTGAGTGTGCGGTGGTGACGGTGCGTGTGTGTGCGGTTGTGACGGTGCGTGTGTGTGCGGTGGTGACGGTGCGTGCGTGTGCGGTGGTGACGGTGCGTGCGTGTGCGGTTGTGACGGTGCGTGTGTGTGCGGTTGTGACGGTGCGTGCGTGTGCGGTGATTACGGTGCGTGAGTGTGCGGTGGTGACGGTGTGCGTGTGTACGGTGGTGACGGTGTGTGTGTGTGCAGTGGTGATGGTGCGTGTGTGTGCGGTTGTGACGGTGCGTGTGTGTGCGGTGGTGACGGTGCGTGCGTGTGCGGTGGTTACGGTGCGTGAGTGTGCGGTGGTGACGGTGCGTGTGTGTGCGGTTGTGACGGTGCGTGTGTGTGCGGTGGTGACGGTGCGTGCGTGTGCGGTGGTGACGGTGCGTGTGTGTGCGGTGCATCCACTGGTTGTGAGCGTCCCACCGGTCAGCGCGCTACCCCGAGGCCCACTGTCAAGTGACAGGTGAGTGACAGGTGAGTGACAGGTTAACCCCCCCCCCCACCCCCAGCTCGCGTGCTGATGAAGAGTTGCAGCTATGGGCCTGGAAGCACGCAGGGTGGGGACAGCTGATTTCCTATCCCCCCCACCACCACCCACCAGACTTTAGAACCACAAACTTGACACATTCGTCAATTTTCACGTGGCCTTTAAAGGAAAAGTACACAATTGGTAGTGTTTCGGGCAAGGGCACAGATGTGTAAAAGGCCCAGTGCCCGAAACGTCACCTATAATTGTTTTCCCTTGAAGGCCACACACTTGTTGTTGACAAATGTTTTGACTTTGTGCATCGCTACTCACGCAGCACCGTCACCAACTTTGTAACGGGGGAGGGATGGGGGCATGACCAGGTGTGACGTCATAATCCGGTGAGTCATCAGGTGTGATGTCGTGACCATACGTGACATCACCAGGTATCAAGTTGTGACTGGCATCACCAGGCTTGGTGTCGTCACCAGCTGTGACGTCACCAGCTGTGACGTCACCAGCTGTGACGTCACCAGCTGTGACGTCACCAGCTGTGACGTCACCAGCTGTGACGTCACCAGCTGTGACGTCACCAGCTGTGACGTCACCAGCTGTGACGTCACCCAGCTGAGAGTCCATCGCTAAGCGCGCGCTCACAGCCAGGTGTGCTGGAGTGGTGGCCGCGTGTGGGCGCGGGCGGGAGCAACGAGTTACGAATAAACGCAAATAGCGATCGATACCTGAAAGTGTAAATCACGACCTCGTCCATCGCGACAAAGTGAAGTTGAACGGCAAAGACCGGAGGTGCTGAGCGGTGGGTTGGTCTGAACCACGTCGTGACTGCGAGAAGCGAAGCGATGTTCACGGGTGTTTACGAACGATGTTGGGTGATGCCTTTGGCAGCAGTGGTGCGACATGCACAACTAACAACCAACTCAACACATTCGTCAATTACAACGCCGTGGCCTTAAAGAAAAAAAAGTGTGTTTCATGTGCTGTAAAAAGATTAGAAAGTTAAGTTGCCTGAAACGTCGCCTCTAATATATTTTTCATTTTATGGCGACATTAACGAATACGGTGTTCTTTTGTGAATTGGATCAGCTAATACCCATGTATCCAATGCAACAACATGGCCACATGCAATAACATGCGTCCATGTTATTGCAAGTATCGGTGCCATCGCGTGTCCATGCGAGCAGGTGTTCAGGTAACCGCAGGTAAGGCACCACAACTCAGGAGGCACGTGGAGCATCGCATCTCGACATCCTCGCCACCCTCGGGATTGGCGATCGTGGTGGCTTTACCTGAGCGATCAAATAGAATTGAAGTCACTGTGATGATGGTATCGAATCAGCAGGTTGTCGGTGTTATGTTTTCCATTCGTTTACCTGGGAAAGCCCCACAGAGTCTCGTGACTATATTATTTTCAGGACGGTCCTATAAAGTTTATCTTAAAAACGGTATTGTGTATTTATTTAAATTTAAATATGTTTCGAATGTTTTTAATTGCATAACAAACAAAATAAATCACCGTGCATTATGGACAACTCAATACATATTGGGCGCCACGGTGGCGAGATGTTAACTCCCTCGCCTGGTATACAGGAGGTCGTGGGTTCGATCACAAACCCCGTCACTTGCTGTATATTTGGAGTCTGCGTGTCTCTCCAAGCAGTCTCGTGGATTTTTCTCCAGGTCCTCCGGTTTTCCCCTCCACATTTTGAACCAATATGCTTCAATAGTATTTGGCTGCTCTATATTTCCACGTGATAAGCCACTTCGTCGAGATGTCATGTGTGGCGAGGTCGCTTCTGAAAAAGAGGCATTAAGCTCGGTGGGACTTACCTGGTAAAATAGAAAATTGTTTAGTTGGCAAATATCAAACCGTTTGAGAGTTTAACCACACGCAAGTCGGGTAAAAGCACGACGTTATTCCATCCGCCTGTTCGGGCCTTTTGGCACAAATGTTTTCCGGCAAAGCATAACAAGTCTCGCTAAATCGGGTCGTGGAGACTCGAAAAACTCAAAACCTTTTGCATACCGGTTGGTGCTCTGAGCAGGGAACGCTTGCTCAGGAAACCGAGCTCACGTGACTAAAACTGCCGTACGGACATCTGGTCTCACAGTAAAGGCGCAGCCCCGGAAGTGCTCGCTCCCGCCACCGCTGGCGGAAGGGGGAGCCTGCACTCGATGGGCCTCCTGGAGGGCCATCTCTCGGAGGGTATTTTTCCTATTCCTCCACGCTGATCAGACGTCTTTAAAGAGGTGGGAGTGGCCACTGTTTACCCCACCAAACACGGGCCACCTGCCACTGGGTGGACAGAGATGCGGCGGGAGTGGTTAGAACATCTGTCCATTGAATACAACTGGCCGGGCGGTGACATCGAACCGGGGACCTCTGGATTGCGAGTGAATATGAAGTCTAAAAGCTGGTTTTGTTGAACAAAGGTGAGAAGGGAAGGCGCCTGGATGAGTTGTTATTTGTGTAATGACGACTTGACATATTTGTCTTGAGATGGTTTCTTTTATTGAAGAAACACGTTCACTCGAACCTGCAAATACCCCACTGCAACAGCCCTGAGTCTCCCGCGCATCTCCCTTGTATACGGTCCGAGGCCACGCACCCATTCCCGACCCTTCTCGCTGGCTCTAGACCGCTCGCTCTACCAGCAGACTCTACCGTCACCTGGCCACACTCCTATTCTCGATCATTCCCGTAGCCACCAGTCCATGTGCACTCACAGCTGACACCCCTGTCATTACCTCCCGTGGCCACTAGTCCTTTTGCACACTGTAGGCTGACTCCCCTGGCATTACCTTCCGTGGCCACTAGTCCACTCACACCGCAGGCTGACTCTCCTGTCATTACATCCATTGGCCACTAGTCCATTCGTACTGCAGGCTGACTCCCCTGTCATTATCTCCCGTGGCCACTAGTCCATTTGTACTGCAAGCTGACTCCCCTGTCATTACCTCCTGTGGCCACTAGTCCATTCGTACTGCAAGCTGACTCCCCTGTCATTACCTCCCGTGGCCACTACTGTAGTCCATTTGCACACTGCAGGCTGACTTCCCTGTCATTACCTCCCGTGGCCACTAGTCCACTCACACCGCGGGCTGACTCCCCTGTCATTTTCTCCCGTGGCCACTAGTCCACTCACACCGCGGGTTGACTCCCCTGTCATTACATTTGCAGGAGGGACCTGAGACATCGGTCTGCTGCCGGTAGGGGCGACCATGACATCTGCTGCTGCTGTGGGAGTGGATTCCCAATTTGGGTGCCTTTGCGGGTCATTTTGCAATTGGCAAAATCTGAGTCCTGACGCTTGGCACAACACCCGTGGCTTAACTCTTGCGAATGACGCCAGGGGCATCTTGGCTCCCACTGCGAAGCAGACCGCGGTGCCTCCTCGCTCTCCCAGGGCTGGCTCCACGCTCAAGGCGGCGTGGATGTTTGGCGGTGGGACTCTCACACACACACAGTGTACACACACACCGTGTACACTACACATAGTGTACACACACAGTGTACACTACACACACAGTGTACACACACACACAGTGTACACTACACACAGTGTACACTACACACAGTGTACACACACACACTGTACACCACACACACACAGTGTACACCACACACAGTGTACACTACACACAGTGTACACTACACACACACAGTGTACACTACACACACAGTGTACATTACACACACTAAATATACAGCAGGCATCAGGGTCGGTATCGAACCCACGACCTCCTGTATACCTAGCGAGGTATCTCGCCAGCGTTGATACAGCTGTCCGTCAAGGCCAATCGCACAGAGAGTCAACCACGCAGAACAATTCGCCACTGAGTGGACAAAGTGTTGCGATTAATCGCGCGATTGATCACGAAGGTAGCCGACCGGGTTCAAAGCGGGCAACCCTTCATCAGTGCCCTACCTTATCACAGAGCAACTCAGACCGTATCGGTCACCCCGTGACACTTACAAATCCCAGCGTTCATCCTACAAAGTCCCCATCGCAAGGTGAGAAACGCAAACTAATAGACAACAACAATGTTTGTTGCCCTTATTGAAACGGCTGTACGCCGCGTAGACCTGGAAACTCAACTTCCCTGCGTACAAGAACACGGGCGCTGAACCGTACGGGCCGACACGGCGTGCGGCTTTCACCTCGTGCGCTGTCGTAGTCGCGGTGACCTCACGTCGCAGCGGTGACGGTCTTGCTCGTGACCTCCCCCCCCCCCCTTCATTCGACGCCTGATTATTAAGTCGTTGACCCCAATTAGTGCCCTGTTCATTTTGTTTAGGGGGTGGGGGGGGGGGTCTTAGAGAGATTTGTTTAGGGATCGGGATAAAACAAAATGAAATTGGATTCCATCGGAACGATTTGCCTCGTTAAAGTAATCGCCTCTGTGACGTCATGGAAAAATCGCATCTGTGACGTCATGCGGATGACGTCATCCTCGGGTTTTCGGATCTAATCTGAAACCGAAACAATGGGGGAGGGGGGGGGCATCCGACGTTTCGTTACCAGGATACATTCGGGAGCACGTGCATCCTTGGCGGCTGCGACGTGGCTGAGAGAGACCGCCTCACTGATTCTTGAATCCACCTGTGCGGAGCTTTTGGGTGTTCATCATTCCCCTTCATACGCACGGGATAGGGCATCGTCCCGAACGTGGCACGCGCGCTACAAACCCGTCGATATTTCTTTCAAAAACACATTGTCCTGCGGAGGGAGCTGGTAGGAACGTTGGGTTGCTCGGTCAATGGCCAGGGTCAACGGCGGCGTGGTGTATTCCGCAAATATGCCCGACTGTGAGGGCGGGCACAAGCCGGCGTGAGTAGGTTAAACGTTGAGTTTTATAAGGGCACCACGGGGTGACCAGCCCCTCCCCACCCAGCCCCACCCCTCCCACCCAGCCCCACCCTCCCCACCCAGCCCCTCCCCACCTAGCCCCTCGCCTCCCCACACAGCCCCTCCCCACCTTCCCCTCCCCACCCAGCCCCTCCCCACCCTCCCCTCTCCACCCAGCCCCTCCCCACCCATCCCCTCGCCTCCCCACCCAGCCCCTCCCCACCCTCCCCTCCCCACCCAGCCCCTCCCCACCCAGCCCGAATCCAGAGTCGACTGGCCAGTACCGTGGAACGTCGGACCAACGTTGACCCCACGCTCCACGTCCCCTGGGCACCACGGACGCAACCGCCCCACATCATCATCATGAGCAGCAGCAGCAGCAGCAGGCCATGGTCTATCCACTGCTGGACGAATGCTTCGTCGCTTTCCCACAGGCCCGAGGCACAGCGCCCGCTGTTGGCCGTGCGCTTTTGTTGTTTTGGGGCCATCCATAAATGACGTCACGCGATTTTGGACGATTATTGACGCCCCCCCCTCTAGTCACACGGCGTCACAAAAGTCAACCCCCCCCCTCAAATATGACGTCACAAAGCTCTGCCCCCCCCCACAATAAAACATGCTTCAAATCGCTTTAAACTATTGCCTTGTATAGTGCGTATTTAATGTGGCTCTGCACTCTGATGTTGTAGGAGAAAACATTTATTTAAAAAGTCCATTTAATTAAGTAGAACGTGTTGTCTGTATTTATTTAAAGTTGCGCATTTTGATATGACGTCACATTTCTCAAACCCCCGCCCCCCCCCTCGTTACACATCGTCACAAATGTGTGACCCCCCCCTCCCCCCTAGGTGCGTGACGTCATTTATGGACGGCCCCTTGGGCGATAAAAATAAAAAATGTCACCAACATATCTTCTTGAATAACTAAATTTATTTACATAGCAAGGAAAGGCAACAGTGTAGAGACAAAAGGGAAGAGTCGCGTCGGTTGTTTTTTGTTTTCATAAGTCGCGAGTGAAATGAACACCGGAGATTAACTGTTCGAGACGTTTGTTTTCGATGAAAATCAACGGCATCCTTTGAAGCCGCGTCATCCGATATGATGATGATTATCGTAGTGACACACAGGTGGTGTGTATTGTGTGTGTACACGTGCCGTAGTGTGTGTACTCACACAGGTGGTGTGTATTGTGTGTGTACAGTTAACTCATTACCTATAGGCGTGATGCGCTGTGTGTGTGTGTGTACACGTGTGATGCGCTGTGTGTGTGTGTACACGTGTTATGCAGTGTGAAGCGGTGTGTGTGTGCCGTCGTGCCGTGCTGCCTAAGTGCAGAATGTCGTGTCCCAGGCGTAACGAGAACACACAAAGTGCCTAAGGGCCGACAAGAACCTTCATCCGGCGCGGCACAGCGCCTCGCGATGTCACGAGTCATGGAAGCGTCGTCAGCGACGACGCTTCGTGGGGACATGGCGCCATCCCCGCTTGTCTCTGTCGGCTGCCCTGGTCAGCCGTGGCCGGGAATTGAACTCAGGTGGGCGGCTTCATTAAGCAAACGCCCGAGCCACATGCGCCGCCGCTCTGCCTGATGAATCCGTTCATTTATTGGGGAAGCTGCGTGCAGGAATCCCCTAATTAATCCCACAGTAGGGAGCCCACTCCGTGCGAGAGAGGCCGCGACCTCCGCTGCTGGAGGAGGGGGCTTCTCACGTGTCCGTGGGTCCGTCGGGGTCATTCGGCCATACTTCACCACGCTGGTCAGTGACCGGAGCGTCGACTCGAGCAGCAGAGACGTCCAGTCCAAGTCGGCCCGGCTGTTCGCTTCACGTCGCCCTCTGCTGCCCAGCCACGCGGCAGCCTGCCACGTGCGTTTTCACACGGAGGTTGTCGTGACCAATGTTGTTATTATATATTCATAATGAAGGTCTGTTGGGTTTGATCGCGTAAATATGCATGCGTCGTGAACCCACCGCCACCCGATACAGACACATTAGTAATGTTTGTCACGGACGCAACACGTGCTAATTGTTTACTACCTCAGCACACCGGTTGTGTTGGAGAGTAAACCCACAATCGGTACTGAAATTGTAAACGTTGTGGGGTTTACTCTCCAACGCAGCGGTGTGCCGTTTTGTTTACGTGACAAGCCTCACAAATTGGCTGGGTGCATATAGTGCCGTCTATAACTCTGCGTCAAACGAGGAGCCGTATCTCAAAGGGAGGGTCCTTGCCTAGAACGTCTGACAGTTCACGGGCATCATCCCTGCCTGCTGATGAGGCGCTGTGCATCGATAAGTGGTGCACAGCGTTGCCTGTGCTGAATCGCAAGGCACACTGGGACATTATTCACTCCCAGAAGGCCGTGGAACCAATGGGGCGTGGAAAAATCATGGTTTTATAGATGTCCTATGCGGACAGCCGGACATGCGAAGGATTTTTACTGGTAGGAACCTCCTGGTTACACCAGCCCACATGGGATTATTGTGTCCGTCGTGCAGGGAGGGGCTGGGTGGGGAGGGAGGGGCTGGGTGGGGAGGGGAGGGTGGGCAGGGGCTGGATGGGCGGTGGGAGGGGTGGGGCTGGGTGGGGAGGGGCTGGTCACCCCGTGGTGCCCTTATAAAACTCAACGTTTAACCTACTCACGCCGGCTTGTGCCCGCCCTCACAGTCGGGCATATTTGCGGAATACACCACGCCGCCGTTGACCCTGCAGGCCATTGACCGAGCAACCCGACGTTCCTACCAGCTCCCTCCGCAGGAATGTGTTCTGTCAGATTATAATTGCCAATGTTCGTTGTGTTTGGTGGTCGCCCATCCAGGCACTGTCCAGGCTCAACCCTTCCCAGCTTTCGAGATCTGATTAGCATCGGCGCTTTAGGCTAATTTGGACATAGGCTAATTTGAAGGGGGGGAAATCATTGATTAAAAAAACACCTGAAGAGTGAATCCGATAATTCCATAAGATTTCGCGACAGTAAATAATCGCCCTGGACTTAAGTTTAAATTAAAAGTACTTGTTCAGAACATATTTGATTTGTGTCCTCTTAATGGTGTTTGTTTTTCCGAATGCCCTCGCTACTCGAATTAACCTCAATTATTGGACAAAAAATACCAACTCGAGACCCAGCATCTGTGCCTGAGGGGTTGAAATCGCGGTTGGGGGGGTGTTGGACTCAGCTCATCATCCCTCCGGGGTCGATAAAGTATTTACCACGTTATGGGAAAGTCACCGGCGGTTGTTCTGCTTAACGTCCTGTGGATATACTCGCCCCCCGCCATACGAACGTGGAATTTCCCTCCGCTGGCTTTCAGAGGTCCGCTCGTTTGAGCAAGACGTGACATGGAACGGTTGGTCGGGCTACCGCGAGAGGGCAGTGTCACCTCGCCACCACCACCACCATCAGCACCACCACCATCAGCACCACCACCACCATCATCTCCATCCATTGACCCCTCATCCCAGGCTGCTGACGTCACGGCGTGATGAGCGCGTTGCTAGGAGACGGGCGAGGATGGGAGGTGACGTCAGAGAGTAGCTGCTGCTGCTAGGAGGAGCAGCAGCAGGAGGAGCAGCAGCAGGAGGAGCAGCAGCAGGAGGAGCAGCAGCAGGAGGAGCAGCAGCAGGAGGAGCAGCAGCAGGAGGAGCAGCAGCAGGAGGAGCAGCAGCAGGAGGAGCAGCAGCGAGTCGGTGGTGGTGGCGGTGGTGGCGATCATCAGACCCGGAGCCATGGGGTCCGCTTCAGGTGAGACGACGCCTCCCACGCTCTCTGTCCATCTGTTCACTCTCGTCCCGTGTGCCGTCTAATCATCCATCATCATCACCACCACAATGGTGTACACGTTAGAGAGCCCGATTATTGTTGCCACTCCACTGCTGGATGGCTCCGTGAAGACGGGTTTGGTCACAGGCACGCCACGCTGCCATCGACGGTGCCAGTGTCGTAGAGGTACGGTACAACAATGATGGGGGTTGCTGCTGCGCTGCCCCTCTGCTGCCCAACGCGCAGCTCGGGAAGAGCCGGGCTCTGACAACCCCCTCGAGCGTGGCGTTCTGCCGCCCGGGCACGATCGAGGCTTAGCCCCCCCCTCGCCCGCCCTCCCCTCTGCATCACGGGTGATTGAGATCAATGGGCTTCAACGCGATCACCACCAAGGGCATCAGAATCGGCACCAGAATCACCGTCACGCGCAGACACGCTAAGGTGGACAATCACCCCACTAAGGTGGACAATCACCCCGCTAAGGTGGAACATCGCCCCGCTAAGGTGGAACATCGCCCCGCTAAGGTGGAACATCGCCCCGCTAAGGTGGAACATCGCCCCGCTAAGGTCGAACATTGCGCTTCGCCAGTGGCTGACCTCACGTCCATCATCACGCCCGACATCACGCGACTTCGTCACGTCCACCTTCACGTTCATCGCCGCGTCCACCACCATCATCGTCACGGCCATCCTCCATCCTCCCCCCGTCGCTACGGCACGGGCTGTTGATTGATTTCTGTTCCCGCGACGACAGATGCACTGATTGCACGGCGGTGTTCCCGCGTGTTCACGCACTGATACGTGCACACGTGCAGAAGAACTGTGTGTACACACAGAGGTGTCGTACATTGTGTGTACACGTGTGATGTGTGTGTACACGTGTGATGTGTGTGTACACACACAGGTGGGGTGTATTGTGTGTACACACACACGTGATGTGTATTGTGTGTACGCGTGTGATGTGTGTGTACACACACACAGGTTATGTATTGTGTGTACACGAGCCGTAGTGTGTGTACACGTGCCGTAGTGTGTGTACACACAGGTGGTGTGTATTGTGTGTACACACACAGGTGGTGTGTTTGTGTGTACATACACAGGTGATGTGTTTGTGTGTACACGTGTGATGCGGTGTGTGTGTACCGTCGTGTCGTGCTGCCTGAGTGCTGAATGTCGTGTTAAAGCTGCTAACACGTCCCGTGGGGTGTGTGGTGTGCGTGTGTGTGTGGGGTGTGGTGTGTGTGTGGTGTATGTGATGTGTGTGTATGTGGTGTGTGTGGTGTGCGTGGTGTGTGTGCGTGGTGTGTGGTGTATGTGGTGTGTGTGGTTTGCGTGGTGTGTATGTTGTGTGTGTGGTGTGTATGTGGTGTGCGGTGTGTGTGGTGTATGTGGTGTATGTGGTGTGTGTGTGTGTATGTGGTGTGTGTGGTGTGTGTGGTGTGCGTGGTGTATGTGCGTGGTGTGTGTGGTGGTGTGTGTGTGGTGTATGTCATGTGCGTGTTGTGTATGTGGTGTGTCTGTGGTGTGCGTGGTGTGTATGTGGTGTGTGTGTGGTGTATGTGGTGTGCGGTGTGTGTGGTGTATGTGGTGTGTGTGGTGTGTGTGTGGTGCGTGGTGTGTGTGGTGTATGTGATGTGCGTGGTGTGTATGTGGTGTGTCTGTGGTGTGTGTGTGGTGTATGTGGTGTGTGTGTGTTGTGTGTGGTGTGTGTGTGGTGGTGTGTGTGGTGCGTGTGTGTGTGGGGTGTGGTGTGTGTGGTGTGTGTGTGGTGTGGTGTATGTGGGGTGCGTGTGGTGTGCGTTGTGTGTGTGTGGTGTGTGTGGTGTGTATGTTGTGTGTGGTGTATGTGGTGTGTGTTGTGTGGTGTATGTGTGTGGTGTGTGGTGTATGTGGTGTGTGTTGTATGGTGTATGTGTGTGGTGTGTATGGTGTGTGTGGTTTGTGTGTGGTGTATGTGGGGTGCGTGTGGTGTGCGTTGTGTGTGTGTGGTGTGTATGTTGTGTGTGGTGTATGTGGTGTGCGTTGTGTGTGTGTGGTGTGTGTTGTGTGGTGTGTGTGTGGTGTGTGTGGTGTGTATGTGGTGTATGTGTGTGGTGTGTGTGGTGGTGTGTGTGGTGCGTGTGTGTGGTGTGTGTGTGTGGTTTATGTGGGGTGCGTGTGGTGTGCGTTGTGTGTGTGTGGTGTGTGTGGTGTGTATGTTGTGTGTGGTGTATGTGGTGTGTGTTGTGTGTTGTGTGGTGTGTGTGTGGTGTGTATGGTGTGTGTGTGGTGTGTGGTGTATGTGGGGTGTGTGGTGTGTGTGTGGTGTGTGTGGTGTGTATGTGGTGTGCGTGGTGTGTGTGGTGTGGTGTGTGCGTGGTGTGTGTGGTGTATGTGGTGTGTTTGGTGTATGTGGTGTGCGTGGTGTGTGTTGTGTGGTGTATGTGGGGTGTGTGGTGTGTGTGTGGTGTGTGTGGTGTATGTGGTGTGGGTGTGTGGTGTGGTATGTGGTGTGTGTGGTGTGGTGTGCGTGGTGTGTGTGTGGTGTGTGTGTGTGGTGTGCGTGGTGTGTGGTGTGTGTGGTGTATGTGGTGTGCGTGTTGTGTGGTGTGCGTGGTGTGTGTGGTTTGGTGTGTGTGGTGTGTGTGATGTGTGTGTGTGGTGTGTGTGTGGTGTGCGTGGTGTGTGTGTGTGGTGTGTGTGTGGTGTGTGTGTGGTGTGCGTGGTGTATGTTGTGTGGTGTGTGTGGTGTGTGTGTGTTGTGTGTGGTGTGCGTGGTGTGCGTGGTGTGCGTGGTGTGCGTGGTGTGTGTGGTGTGGTGTGTGTGGTGTTCATGGTGTGTGTGTGTGGTGTGCGTGGTGTGTGTGTGTGGTGTGGTGTGTGTGGTGTGTGTGGTGTTCATGGTGTGTGTGGTGTGTGTGGTGTGGTGTGTGTGTGGTGTGCTCTAGAAGAGGAAACTCGTCAGCGGCTGCTGAGAAGCGTCAAGAAAGAGGTGAGCGGTGGTGGTTGCTGTTTACAAAGACAAAGATCCCCCGTATAGCCTGAACAGACTGTCGGGACAAGTGCTGCGAGCGAGTAGCACCTATTCAGGCCGGAATGCCACACGAGGGGGTGGGTGGCCAACACCATGCCCGACCGCCTTTGTCTTCCTGGTTGCTGTTTGCGAGCGCCTCTTAAGCCAGTGAGGGCGGCATGGCTCAGAACACGTGGATACAGTATGCAGTGTTGTATAATTACAATTATAAGGTATAATGATAATAATAATCACAATGTACACTTCCAAAGCGCCTCTAACCCCGGAAATCACAAGGGACTGGCCGATAGCGATCACATCCAAACCCAAATCAAATCACACCCACGCCTAAATCAAATCACGGATTCAAGGCATAGAACAACAACAAAAAATCCCGTTAAAAAAAAATACGTTGCGTCTCGAGGTACGATTTGAATGACGTGAGTGGTGGTGTGGGGAGCGAACGCCGAGCGGACGTGAATCTCACGTCCAGTGGACGTGAATCTCACGTCCTGGGGACCACACGGGGAGAGGGGTGGCCAGAGATCGACTCGGCACGAACCAAGTGCTGGAGAGAGGTCAACAAACGTCCTGTTAACACAATCGCAGCCTGTGTACACACACACACATGTACAGCATCACAGCCTGTGTACACACACAAACATGTACAGCATCACAGCCTGTGTACACACACAAACATGTACACAATCACAGCCTGTGTACACACAAACATGTACACAATCACAGCCTGTGTACACACAAACATGTACAGCATCACAGCGTGTGTACACACACAAACATGTACAGCATCACAGCCTGTGTACACACACACACATGTACACAATCACAGCCTGTGTACACACACACACATGTACACAATCACAGCCTGTGTACACACACACACATGTACACAATCACAGCCTGTGTACACACAAACATGTACATCATCACAGCCTGTGTACACACACACACATGTACAGCATCACAGCCTGTGTACACACAAACATGTACACAATCACAGCCTGTGTACACACACACATGTACACAATCACAGCCTGTGTACACACACACATGTACAGCATCACAGCGTGTGTACACACAAACATGTACAGCATCACAGCCTGTGTACACACACAAACATGTACACAATCACAGCCTGTGTACACACACAAACATGTACACAATCACAGCCTGTGTACACACACAAACATGTACACAATCACAGCCTGTGTACACACACAAACATGTACAGCATCACAGCCTGTGTACACACAAACATGTACACAATCACAGCCTGTGTACACACACACACATGTACACAATCACAGCCTGTGTACACACACAAACATGTACACAATCACAGCCTGTGTACACACACAAACATGTACACAATCACAGCCTGTGTACACACACAAACATGTACAGCATCACAGCCTGTGTACACACAAACATGTACACAATCACAGCCTGTGTACACACACAAACATGTACACAATCACAGCCTGTGTACACACAAACATGTACAGCATCACAGCGTGTGTACACACACACACATGTACAGCATCACAGCCTGTACACACACACACATGTACACAATCACAGCCTGTGTACACACAAACATGTACACAATCACAGCCTGTACACACAAACATGTACACAATCACAGCCTGTACACACACACACATGTACACAATCACAGCCTGTGTACACACAAACATGTACACAATCACAGCCTGTGTACACACAAACATGTACACAATCACAGCGTGTGTACACACAAACACGCACAGTACACAACGTTAGCTCGTATACACAAACAGCCCGTAATCAGGAACAGCCTTGTACACACCAAGACAAATCATCTGTGTACAAAAACAGCCGGTAAATACTTTATTGGGTGATGATGATGATGCTGCTGCTACAGTGGCAATTGTCCACAAGCACAATTAATGCAAACTCAGCACGTTCCGTGCCATTAACGTAACACTATATATAATAGGCGACGTTTTGGGCAATGTCCCTTCCTCACAGCACGTAACATGAGTGATGTATGCACGCAGCCTGTGTACAAACGTGCAGCCCACAGCTTTACTCGTGGAATGATAATAATACTCCGACTGTATAGTGCACGTACATCTTTCGAATGCAAAAGTGGCATCTGTGTTGTCATCCGAGTAGATTGTAACTGACTGCCGTGCGGGAAATATAATTGAACCGGTCACCTCTGCATTCACCACTTAAATAAAGGACATTAATTTCGTCGTGAAATCCGATGTCCCTTGTATGCTTAAGTAAAGGTAATTGACAAATATTCCGTGATGCATCTCTCTGGGCGAGAGCACACGCACACGCAGGGTGCATGCATCACAGCGATCTATCAACGATACAATTCAGGATGTTGCGACCACAACACATCTCAATAATGTTTTATCGGGTGGGTGAAAGCCACTCTGATTTTGTTGAACCAAAGCGAGGACTGCTCAAGAGACCCGGGTAGAGTCATTCGTGAGAGTGAACGGGCGAGTGAATGAGTGAGCGGGTCGGTTGAGATGGTGGGTGAGTGGGCAAACGATTGGGTGAGATGATGCGGTGAGTCGGTTCAAGTGTTGACGTTCATTTTGTTTCAACGTGGTGAGAACTCCCCAAGAAGCCAGCGTAGAGTCGCATTTGGTCGAGTGACCTGGGGTAGTGGACATGAAGACATGGTCACATTGGTTAAATAAATAATAAATATGTACCAGTGTTTTCACACATTTTCAGAGTGGGGTGGGTGGGGGGGACACTTTCGCCGATAAGACATCATCAGTGTGAGGGTCGCCACACATTTGAAACCATTGGGGGGTTGACAGCAGCAGGACGATGATGATGATGGTGATGATGGGGGGCGGTGTTTTCACGGTTTGTCTGTTCATAATCAACGTTTTTGGGTTTAGATCGCGTTATTTATAAATGTGTCGTAACCCTCCACCACCCGACACGACCAATCAGTAAAAATGTGTCACGTTGACAAAGACAAATAGTTCACTGCTTTAGCCCACCGGTGTGTTGAAGCCACAACATTTACAATTTGAGTACGACGTTTCGCTGGTAATTGCAACCAGCATCATCGGGCAATTGGCGAATGATGCTGGTTGCAATTACCAGCGAAACGTCGTACTCAAATTGTAAATGTTGTGGCTTCAACACACCGGTGGGCTAAAGCAGTGAACTATTTGTCTTTGTCAACGTGACACATTTTTACTGATTGGCCGTGTCGGGTGGTGGAGGGTTACGACACATTTATAAATAACGCGATCTAAACCCAAAAACGTTGATTATGAATAACATTGGTCGCGAAAGCCTACGTGTTAAACTGGTTTGTCTGTTGTCGGGGGCCGTCACGTCAGAGACCGTACGACAGGCCACCAGGGGCCGCTCGTGGCCCCAAGTGGCCTTGCAATGAAGAACACCGAACTATACGAATGGGGCATGTCATGGTTAGATCAAGGGCAGGAATAAAGCTGATCCCACTCCCCCCCTGGTCACCTTGCATCACCGCGCTCCATATAGTGGGGTTCCGGCGAGTCTACGACTGGGTCGGGTTGCTGAGGTGGCTTCCCGTGGCTTTCCCTCCCAGTGTTGTCTTGGGTGACCCCCACCACCACCACCACCAGATGCAGGTCAACCTCATGCCCAGGATGCACTCAACATATCGTAAAATCAAAGTTAATACCAATATGTCACAAGTGGTGGCACATTTGATGAGTGCCCTGCGCTGTGAACCCGGCCACCGTGAATGTCATTCCCACCCACGGCTAACATCAGTGGCTAGTGATGTCTGAACCGGTCCTGGACCTCTCCCTCCTTTCCCCATGGTCCAATAACCCCCAGAACCCGCATGGCAATGGGGGAGCCTCATCCAGCAGTGGATTGACAAACGGGGCTGTACTCCCGTGTAGTGGATTGGCAGGCTTCTTTGACTCTTCGTGATATTGTTTTTTTAACTCTGACCAGTGCCTTATTATCCTCGTAGCAAAAGTAGTTGCATGTGTAGCTACGGGCCCCGCACTTTCAAGGGCCCCGCACTAAATGCTTTCAAGCTATCAATTCCGGTTCTGTGATTCTGCACTTGCTCTATTACTATAGTACTATACCGCCTTCAACTTTTATGAACGACTGGGTGTTTAAGGTTAGTGATTTGTCGTATTATCTGGCTGTATAGGCAATGAAAACATACAATTACTTTACTATGCAATTAAAAAAAATGCGTGTTTTTAATATTTAAGTGTTTTATTTTAATTTAGGGCCCCTTTATAACATTTGCTACAGGCCCCGCACTAGCTTAATCCGTCACTGCCTCTGACCTTCGCTGTCATCCGAGGGGTTTCTGTGACTTCCCGTCCGTGACCGGGTTTTAACTTGGGCAAATTAGATTGCTCGCGTTCCTTGACACACCGATGCCGCCTTTGACAGAGCAAGACGTGCCCTTTGTTTGCCCAGGAACGCCTCATTTGAGTCTCAAGACTCATTTTCAGGAGCGTCCTGCTCGATTATCAGGGGCGTTTTGCCAATATCTTGTCGACGTCTTGATTCGTGCGTGAAGACAACAGGACAGGAGGAAGGTGGTTGTTTTTGTTTGGTTTTCCGCGGTAAAAATCGCGTATTTGTTGTCCTATGTTGTATCGTGTCCCCCCCCCCCCCCCCTCCTATCTCGGTCCCAGGTCTCTCTCTTGCAAAGAAAGAGACCTCCAGTGGGACCCCCCTGGCCCATTACAAAAGCCGCTGATGCGTGGCGATGCCCAATACATTCGCACGCCACTTGGAGCGCGTGGCCAGAGGAACGCCTCTGTCGGGTTGAATGAGCGCTACGGGTTGCTGCTGTGCCCCAAAGCAAACGAGGCAGGGCAGAACAAATAGACGGGTAATGAATGGCGTGCGACTGTGTGTGTGTGTTATTGTCTATTACATGTGTGTGTGTGATTGTGTGTGTTTCGTTATTA